AAATGCTTAAAGCCTCATTAGTGAGAATATGGAGAATGCTAGAAACAGTGTGAAAATATGGAAGGAAATTTTAATTGAGATGTATAAGTATGAAAAAAAAAAGAGAAGAGCCATCACATTTTGACCACAGTCTTGTGTTGAATAATTTTAGCTGTCAAGCAGGATGTGCTAGGCAAAAAAAAAAAAAAATTCTATGTAGTCGAGAGTAGATCTGGAAGCTGAGAATAAACAGAAAGTTCTGTACAAGTAACAGTTTTTGTCCCCCGTGTTTCGTTAGATCATTCTAAAAAATTCTGCAGGTGTATCGAAGTATGTATTCTCGAAAGTATGTTCCCGTTTCGGGAACGGGAACATACTTTCGAGAAAAATTACTTACTGTTGTAAATTTATTGCAAAATTTACAAGCTGTCATAACTTCTTGGAGAATAAATCTCTGACATATCGGTGGGAGTTTTCCTTTCCTTAAAAGTTTCATAATCTGTCAAAAGGTTTATTTCCTGGAGAATTCAGAAGTTAGAATTGATACCAAAATAATTTCAATAATAACTTTGAAATACAAAAATTTTGAGATCAAAAGAATTTTCTGCTGAAATTATGGTTCAATTACACAAAAGACATGTCAAAGCCCTTTGATAGGGCTCTGATGCACTCCGTCTAAAGTTACAGTTTATTTCAGAAACTGAGAAGTACCGGAGCCAGGCTCTGGTGGGCTCCGGTGCAATTTAAGCTATGGTTTTCAGAGCTTTGATCTGGTACTTTAGCTACAGCAGAAGAGAATAGGAGCATTTAAAATACATAGTGAGCTGAAAGTCCTCTTAAGAGGTTTGCTTATAAGCTAAGAAGGGTGGGAGATTTTTAGACCCATCCTTGTGGAGGATTCTTCTTTAAATTTGAGATAGAATGAACAAAGTCTTGCTGTCACCTAGAATGTGCCCAAAGCCTATGTCAGTGATAGATGCAATCTTGTGTTCCTCACCATGAAAAAATTCAGATCTGATGTTGCTGTCAGACAAGTAAGATAAGTCACAACTTGCAGCAGATTTTTTAATCAAATGCATTTCATCTGCTGATATCTGACGGTCACAAGCATCACATAAGATCATACGGTTATCTAATAGCTTATTTTCTACCATACCATATTTATCTTTATTGCATTAAACCTTTTACTTTAATTCTTAATTTTCTTAAAGGAAATGATGCTGAAAGCAACTTAGAATCATGCTGAGTCATCAGCAAAGTATTGGGCATGTGATAATAAGAGTTAGCTTATTGATGTATTTTCTTTTGCTGACAGTATCATATGATTGGCTGTTCCATTCAGTCTTAATATAAGAATTATAAAAGATTAATATACAGAATAAAGTGTTGAGTAAATTATGTTTCACTGTATGTAACATAAAGTAAGCATTAATCTAATTCATGTATTGTAAAATCTGACATCACAATTATTTCTAAGTGAGCTTAAAATGAGGGATGTCATCTCCTAAAGTATTTTCCCATTTTCTTATTTATTTATTTATGAATATTATTCTCGAAATGGCACTTTGAGTTGAAACGCTATGAACGGTGTATTACTTTTTTAATTGTTGCCATCAAATACTATCTCTGTGTGTTATACTTAAATTAAAGATAGAAATCTGCATAAATGTATGCTTGTTTCTCACATTGTGAAAAAACAATGGTACCTAGAGCCATCAAATTTTGAATAATGCAATCCTTCATCCAAACATGCCCACCTGGAAGCCCAGATTTTAAATTTTGAATTTGTTTTATTATTTATTTCATATTTTGTAAAATGCTAACAAATTTTTTATTAACAAAATGATTTCAAAGCAAGCAATGGCAACACTATACAGAAAAAAACATTTTTATCTCCAGTGCATGGGCCTGTTTATTGGAAATTATAAAGATATGATGTTTCTAAATCAAACTTCATGTGGCATAAGCACCAAGAATATGACATTTCATAAATAAAGTAAATACACAAAACATTAATACATAGTAAAAGCACAAAAAAAAATTGGTTAGAGTTGACTTTAGGGTACCTCTTGTATTATCGTGAAATTGTTGTTTCATTTATCTTCAAGTTGTCTCATTTATGACAACCTGAGTAGTTGAAGCCTATGGAAACCTTATTATGACATAATTGGTTGTGGTGAATTTGAATCATGGGAAAAAATTTGGAAAGTGTGTGTCGGATTTGGGGTAAGGGCTTGTGTGTGATGGATTAGTACATTGTTATTTTGTGATTTACATGGTAAATTGGCTGAATGTGGTAAGATAAATTTAAAGTTTCTTTAGGATTTGGAAGGAAAGGGAAAAAAGCATTAATTGACTGGTGTGTAAATTAATGTTTACTTAGTAGACATTATTATGTGTCCGGTTTGAAAGAAGGAAATGCGTATGGTCGAACATTGGATATTTTTGAATGGATGATATTTTTTACTCTTATTTTGTGAATTTATGTGGCGACACCAGTATACAGATTCTAGTTCAAATAGTTTGGATGCTGTTAAGGAATTTTGTTTGACTGAAGACGCGTAAATTCGTAAATAAGGTAAGTGGATATTTCTTTCGTGTAGTGCTAAGATGAATTTCCTTTTAATGTTATTTCATTGTTTGATTTAAAATGTAGTTTATTCAGATTATATATTTTTTGTTTGCTGCTCCTTTGACTTTTTAAGTGAATATAGTTCGATGTGTACATGGACACAGTCAAGGGAGTGCACAAAGCCTAGTTTGTGCAATTCTCTGATGTTTTTTTAAGTGGAAATAGGTCGATGTCTACATGGATACCAAGTTTGTGCAGTTCTTTGTCTTGTTATTTTAGCACCAAAATCGCCGCTATGCAAGCCAAAATAACAAGTCAAAGAATTGCACAAACTCGATATCCATTTACCGCCAAAAATTGCCAAGGGGTACCCTAAAATATACTTTTACGAAAAAATTTTGTAAAGCCATCTTAGTAAGAAAATTGAACATTAATATCATTAACTGAGAAAAAAAGTAAATTTTAGACAAAAAACATAGGTGTTGCATCAGGAATTCTAAATGTATACCTTTTTGGTGCTTTTAAAATTTTCTTAATTTTGCTGTTGAATTAATTGTATATGATGTAAGTGTGAAGAAAATTGTGTTTAATAATAAAGCTAAAAAGACAAAAAAAGGGGGGGGTTAGTAGGAGTGAGTTTAACAACAGACTGGTAGACTAAGAGCTCAGTGAGAGCGTATTGGGTCAGTCTATAAATTCGTGCTTATTTTTTGGTAAAATTTTAAATAATATAAAAAAATACAATTTAACATTTTAATCAAATATTTTCCTCCATTATCTACAATGCCTCGCTATCTTACAGGCAGCTTTTTTATGCCATTGCTGTAGAAAGACTGGTTTTGATGCAAAAATATTTGAAAGTTCATTGTGTACATCCTGTTTAGAATTTAATTTTTTTCCCAGTAAAAATTTTTGTAAGGCATGAAATAAGTGAAAATCACTTGGGGCAATATCTGAGGAGTAAGCAGGGTGTGGCAAAAGCTCTCAATTAAATTCACTAATTTTTTGCAGCATTGTTTGAGTTGTGTATGCGGTCTAGCGTTATCATGATGAAACACTTTCTTGATATTCACCCATCGTTGGCATTTTTTGATCAATTCTGAGTGTAGACGGAAAAGTTGTTCACTATAAACTTCTGATCATTTGATTTGGTTCTAACAGTTCAATATGTCCTGAATGGTGTTCATCATCAATGCTGCTTTTTCCAACTTTAATTTTTTTAAACCATTTCTGGGCAGTTCTTACACTAATAGTGTGTTCACCATGTATATTATTAATTTTTATCACTGCAAACCTGACAGATTCACCACACGAAAATAATTGGTGGTGAATAATATGCTAGTCAAATGATGACAAGTTTCAACAGGTTTGAAATTGTATTGTTTTAGTAAATGCATCATAGTGAATTCCACGCATACTCTTAATGCGCACGAACTTATGGACTGACCCGATAAAAAAACCTTAACAAATCTGTTTGAGTGATTATTAAAATCTGAACCTTTTTTTTTTTTTTTTTTTTTCAAATTTATGTAGCTGTGATTTCTGATAGCTGAAGTGGCAAACTTTTAAAAATTATAATAGCAGAAAAGTTTGAATACTTTCAAAACAAAAGTTTTCTCATTTTTAATAAGTTCACTGTTGATAAGCTTTCTTAAGTGGGATGGACTGTAGTTTATAGTTAATATTTTCGGAACAGATCGATACAAAATTTAAGGATTAAATGCAGTATGATGGTTAGATACAAAATTAGGGATCATACATCTGTAAGGAGGATGAGGATATGAATTGTTTTATATGATGTGAAAAATATTATTTATTTTACTTTTCTTTTTTTTTTTTTTTTTTTTTTTTTTTTTGTAAATAAAGCTGGAAACATCTTTGAACTTATTTTTAAGACTTAAGTTCATTTTAGCATTAAATGAAACAAAATTTCATAAGAAATTACATTAAACAAAATTTTTCTTCTACCTAGACATTTCTAAGTTGAATTACATATAGTTATAGCAAAATTGTGTGTTTATAATATGTTTTAGTATAAATATTTGAAGTTATTTACTTAAGCACTTTTCTGTTAACCAAAGTGCCAAATATAGTAGCTTGTTTATATCGAGTCAATAACTGTGCAATGTTTAATGCTTGCAGTGCCAAGGCTGTGTGTGATGTTAAATTTGTTGAATATTTTTTAGGTGAAATCTTCAGAAAGTTGCTCAAATTTGACATTGCACATATGTAAAAATGTAAAAGTGAAAATTTAAATTATCCTTATTGTATTTGGGAATATTCACTATACTTTATGAGTAAAAGTTATCTAATAGAATTGATAGGAAATAACCATTATTTTTAACTTCTCTGATTTGTTTTGATATGCCTTTTACAAAATTGATATTTAATTGTATTTTGAAATTAAAAAGGCCCTTTACATTTTCACTATTTCATGTAACTTTTGCAGGTTATCGAAAGCACGAAAGAGAAACGGTCTGAAAAGGTTTCAGATTCCGCCAAGAAAGAATTTGTTTCAAGAAAATATAAACGTTTTAAGTGGCATAGTAAAGGCTCTGTTGACTCTATAAATGTTACTTCATCTTCAGAATCTGTGTCTTTATCCATGTCATCACTTCAGAAAAGTATGGATGTGAAAACATCTCACAGTGATGACGAAGCTCAAAGTAAACTCATAAAATCTGAGAAAGTGTCTCCAGAAAAAGAAATACATTCTAAGAAAGTGCCTCCAAACTCTGACAAAAAAATTTCCAAAATGGAAAAAAAAGATTCCACTCCATTTGCTTTCCATTTTGAAAAAAGGTAAAATATACTTGTTATATATACTTCAGCTGATGATGCTCATGTTAATTTTTTATCATTAATAATAAATAACTGATTAGTTTCTACCAAATTTAGAAAAATATTTGAATGTTAAGATTGTGTAAAAACATTTTTAGTTGTGCTGTTAGTCAGCACTGCAGTGCAATTCTGTAGCAATCAAACCTGATCAGAGCCAGTTCAGAGTTGTTTACAAAGTTTTATTATTTAGTATATTTATCATCAGTTTTTGCATGCTATTTTACCTCCCTGCTTATTTGGTATGTTACCATTTTTACAGCTTTTAGTTTTTAAACATTACCAAGAATGATGATAAATTGGCTTTGACATTAGTTCAGAAGTCAAATAACAAAAATCAGCGTTATATTTTCAAATTTTCACAGGGACTAGTTTCGATGGTTTTACCGAACCATCATCCTCAGCTGCAGAAGCACAAATGAGCAAGGTAATATATAATGATTAGATAAGATAAGAAAGCTTGGGCAGGAAATAAGCTACTGGCACCATCTGTTGATGAAACCAGAACTAAAACATAATTTCTTTCTGAAGATTTGATCAGTTTTTATTTTTGACAGGTCCGAATGGGAAGGATCTTTAGGGATCAGATTATATGGTCCTTCATTTAAGAGTTTAGTAATCAATGTAAGTGTTCTTTTCCATGATGTAAGTGTTCTTATCCATTGATGACTATCTGGCCACCTTTGTTGGCCTTTGAAATGATAATATCCGGGTTAAATGGCTTTGACAGTCTGAATGTAAACTACTTGCATTTGTCAAAATAAAGTATATGTACTATTTGTTTAGCCACTTTGGGAGTAAACTTTTGATTGCATGTAATAAATAAATAAAATAAGACTAGATTGGTTTTGAATTAATTTTAAGATATGTACTCCATAAGCCTATTATTGTTATAGGTGATGTTATTTATTTGTAGTTTTGATAAATCTTGTATTCACCATTATTTATAAGTCTTATGTTTGAAATTTGGACTCAGGTTTACACTAATAATGATCACTTAATTACTTTATTTGTCATGAGAAAAGCTGTGAGTAGGCTACATATTAACAAATTTTAGCCTTTCGGGCTAAAATATTGGTTCACTTTTCAAATTGTTGCGACCAAATATTAGAGCCCTGTGTTATATTTAAAAAATTAAATAATGAAGAATCTGCCTAAACGTATGTATGTTTCTCGCATTGTGATAAAACAATGATATCTAGAGCTATCAAATTTTGAATAACGTACGTTTCCATCCAAGTATGGGCATCTGGAAGCCCAAATTTGGGATTTGTATATTATCTATTTCGTATTTTGTAAAACTTTTAATGAGTTTTTGATTAACAAACTCTTAAGATTTAAAAGCGAGCAATGGCACTCTATGGGGTAAAAAACCTTTTTATCTCCAGTGTGCGAGACTGTGTGTCAGAAATTCTAAAGATAGGCTCATTTAAAAATTATTTTGTGATATTGCTGTTAAATGGAATTTCATGGTTTAAATGTGAAGAACATGGTATTTAATAAATAAAGGTAACACACAAAATGTTAAAAAGATGCCCTTTTGGGCCTAATGTAAAATCTGAAAGCTTTCAGATTTTATTTATCATTTATATTTATAAAAATAAGTGCTACTGTTATGTAAGAAGTTCATAAATATGTTCATTATATGTAAATGAATACTTCATGCATTTGCCTTATATTTTCAAATGATTATACAGGCATATTACACTGACAAAAAAGGCATTTACAGAAAAATATTTTTTTCAAATATGTGTTAATGATTTTTGACTTACTGATGACTGAGCAATACTACTGTGAGTAGACCACATTTTAATGCATTTTACTTTAAAAAAGGAAAAAAGAATGTTAATGATTTTTTATATACCAACAACTTAAAAAGATGCTATATCATTCTTCTGAGGAAGAGATATTTTTACCCTGCATTGAAATATGCAAAAATAGGCATGAAATTAAACTACAATATACTCTTGATTATCCGGGCTAATGCCTGGGAAGCAGATCACAGATATTTGAAAAACATGGATAATCCTAACTATCAGTTTTCTTGCATATTGTGTTTATTTCTTCAAAAAAATCAGTAATTTTACAAAAACGTTTAAATATTTGTTGAATCTCACTGTACATTTTTAAAGGTGCTATTAAATCACTGTACTTGAATTCCATTTGGTTGACCAAGTCCAGTACAGTTTCAAGAGGTATTTCCTGTCTCAGGATTGTCAATATCTTCTTTACTTGTATTTTTAGTATTCCTCTCTGCCTCTTTTATTCTTGTGACATTTGAAATGATATCCACAGCACTCGAGCATTGAAAGCACATCGAACTATTTCTCAATGTTTTTACGACCAACATTTTCAAAGAATTTTACAATTTCATTTCTTTAGCATACAATTTAAGTTATTGCCTTAACTTCTTCACAATTAGATAAATCTCTGATTTCTGTAATAGGAAGAATCTTTTTCTATGATGAAGCTTGTGTGTGTGTTTTTTTAATATTCTTTGCTTAGCAGTCAGTGTGATTGCATGGGTACTACTGTGGACCTCTTATTCAGTGGCTTTCACCCAGTAGATCATTTGTAATTGTGTTATGATTTATTTACTGTTGGCAGAGGAATTGACGTCAATTAAGTGGTGAGAAACTACTTACTTATTTTTCAGACATATGACTTTTGACTGGAACAGTATCATGAGAGATGTATATTCTCTGTCATAATCCAGTAAGCAAATAGGTGACTTTGGGAAAATTGTGGAAATAGAGAAAAGTCTCTTCATCCAACAAAAAGCATTGCTGGCAATTTTTCCACAGCATTGGATATTTGGCAGTTTATGTTGAAAAACCAGTGAATGCTTTCTTTTCCAAGTTCCGAATAGAGAGGCAACCAACCTCATGGCAAAAATCGTGGATCACATGCAAAAGCAATCAATATTTTATTCAGACTGTTGACGAGCATACAAAGCAGAAGAACTGCAAAAAGCAGGTTATGCTTACTTCATTTTAATTCATAAATTTCATTTGGTGGATCCAGAAGTGAAGTATAAAATGTTGAAAGGCTATGGTAGTAAGATAGAACTCCTCTAAGTGACAAAATAAAAGGACAATGAAGCATGATGACAATGAAGATGATGTGAGTCTTGAGTGCAGTGAATAGTCTAAGATGCTTAAACTTTTCGCGACGGCGTGCCTTTGTTTAGGACACTCCTGCGGGATGGAAGGGAATCGAAGGCAGTCAGCGTACAGGACGGAGGTTTTGCATCGCTAAGCTTAATTTTATATAAAAAAAAAAATCAGAAAAAAAAAAAGTTTCACTTCTAGCATCATAATTTTTAGTATCATCTTAGATTATTACTTGAGCTCTTATATATGTTAAAATTAGTACTTAATAACATTTTTTTCTATATTTTACATGAAAATATACTTTAAAAATTGCTTATCTTGTAAAATAATTTTCAGAAGCGTTATTCAAATTATTCCAAAGTTTTAATTGATAAAAATCCATCAATAAAGTTAAAAATTAATAAAACAGCACAATAAAGACTATTTACAATAAGAAGTAACAAAATTTAAAATGAAGACTAAGTGTGGTAAATCTCGAAGCACGGAGAAGTATCACTTTCTAACTCTTTAGAAAATGAATCATCACTCTCATTTGTGTTAGTAAATGGTTGGCTAACCATACAAGGGTATTCTTCCTCTGATAAATAGTGCCTTCCCATCATAATAGACTGGAGGTGAGGCTTTCCTAAATAAAAAGAGAAGAAACAGTAATATATCTGAAGGCAATGCAAAACGTAAAAGAACTCCACAAAGTAGCCCTAAAAGACCATACATTGTAGAGGAAAAATATAGAATAAAAAAAAGGAATTTGGATATAAATCAGACACGAGAATGTTTTCATTAGCACGCAGTGATTTAAAGAGCCCACCTCTGTTTACGCTTTCCCTACCCCCCCCCACCACCCTTGCAACAGCTGATGAGTAAAATACCAAAGTCAGGCAATATATATCAAACTCAAGTTCGGAAACCTAAAACTGTGTTCATTTCAAAAGTAATGGACATAGGATGCCATCTAGTGGCCTTCAGAAAAACGTTCCAGCTTAAAATGTGTATATGCATCCCCCGTCATCTGAATACAATCTCTAGTGATGCGTGGATGGGACACTCAGCTGTCAGAGATGTTCTTAGGAAATGTGTATATGGGATGCCCGTCTTGAAAGGGTTAAAGTGTGTAAGTGATGGCTGAATCACCTGTCCACCTTCAGATTGAGTTGAAATGATTAATACATGATTCATCATTGCAGGCTGTATATGAGTTTATCTAGCTATATTTTTTGCGTGTGGTAGCATAGTTCTTGATAGATTTTGTGTTTGTGAATATCATGTTCAATGACTCATTTGTGTCATATTACAAATTTTTCTAATTAAAAAAAAATAATAATGGAAGAAGTACAGTTCTGTGCTTTGTTAATTATTTGATAAATCAGCTATAGTGAAATATTTTAAGTAAATTTACCAGATGTCTTTTCATATTTTATGGAATCGTGACTGTCGTGTGGAATCGGGAGTCCTTTGAGCTGAGAGAATGCTTTTGGTGTCGTATTGAAAGTAATCACAAAAATAGAGCTGGATTAAAACTTTTAGAGAGGTGCAAGCACTTAAAATGATTCCCCCCCCATTTATGTTTATTCCACTTTATCTATTTATTTTTTTCTCTCTCTAGGTTTTGGTTTATCTGCAACATGCATTCATGGTAAAACTAGCAAAGGAATTGTTTTTAGTGCCTCCTTTTCTAAATGCTTAATACTTTTCTAATACTTTTTAAATACTTAAACTATACTTTTTGTGGTATCCCACTGTCCTTGATGCCGTAAGCACATGCTTATATTGCTTAACTCTTTCGCATCGAAGTCGCCCCAAATGCCCAAACATTCAGACATCGGCTGGATGCCCAAAACGCCTGAATAATTTCCTACCCAGTGCTTTCCCCCATCACGTTACTGCATTCCTCATTGCTTTCAGGTGTTGTTAAATCACATGCCAATCATTCTTTTGAAGCTACTAAAAGTAGCTTTCTTGTTTCCTTTGTTCCTTCCTTTCCTTTGTTTACTATCAGCGTTTAGCTTTTGATGCCCAAAGTTGCAATCCCGTCCCAAGGGGTACCTTCACACAGTGTCAAAGCATCGAAGAAAGAAGTTCTCGCTTTACTTTAAGTAAGGCCTATTGTTAGCGCTGTAGTATCAACTTGTCCATGGGGAAGAAAAGCAGAAAGCATTCCAGGAGAAATTCTTAGATACGAGCATTTTCGATGTTTGGGGAATTGAGATTTTGCCCTCTCTCGATGCAAAAGAGTTAATGGTTAATCCAGTTCTGTTCAAGTACTTCTCGGAAGATGGAAGAAGCTAAAAGGGATGTATCATTTGCCAGGTTTTTCAAAATAGAATAATTATAGTGCAGTATTTTCTCTCAATGTTAATGATTTTCTGTGATTCTGACTAAATTATGGGGATTGCATTTGAAGATAACATTCAGGATATTTTGGCATCCTTCCAGAAGTAATGCGTGATTAATGTGGCAAGTTTTGTGACATAATATTTGATCAAAATTAACATTAAATGTACCTAACTACCTGTAACCTCATCTAGCGTGTAACTGAAATTTGGCCTTATGTGATTGTTTTTTGGAAGGGGTTATTGAAATTTTACCTTTGAGAAGAACATTTTCCGAATTTTTCAGTCTTTATCAAATATGCAAATATCTGAAGGCAATATGGATATTGCAAAAATAGTTAACAGTAAGTAATATCTGAAAAAACACAGGAGCTCTGTTTAGATTGTAAAGTATGCATATTGAAACTTTCACCAAATTTGAGGATTGTTATTATGCCAGTTCCATTCTCATGTTGTATTAAGAATCAAAGTATTGTAAGAAAACAATTATTCCAACTGTTGATTTTTCTTAAAATCTCAGAAAGCAGTGAAAATCAGGGAATACACCCAAAAAAATGAATCTTCCAAATTGTCATCTATGAAAGTATTCATTTTGGTATGAGTACCATTTTCTTTTTATGGGTACCACTTTCTTATGTATTAGTACAACCACCAGTAGATTTTGCCAAATTTTCAGAATGTGTCAAACTCTGGCAACTGAGAGTTAATAATTTTTCATTTTTAACAAGTATTGTTGTCATTTTTGTATGTGTTTTGTGTCTTGTGTTCCAAGGGTCTTTATAGACAAATAGTGATGCTTTTTGTTTTAAGCTCAGTTTTAAAGTTAGTGCTTGTGGCCTTTGTCTAGGATGTGGTACCTAAACTGGGTAGTATTTTCTGGTAAAACCCATAAGTAATAAAAAAGTTAATATTTTATGCTTGATTTTAGTTAGAAACTTGTAAATTACATCAGTAAAAGAATGAATTACTTTTCAATAATTTCTTTAATAATGCTTGTATTTTCTTTTTAGTGATTTATCATCAAACTGTACACAGAATTCCAAAGTAAATGGGATAGATGAAAAAGACAAACCACGGTTGGTAGTAACATAACTTTTTTTATTTTATGTTAATTACAGTTGTAATATTAATTAATATGCCCAAACAAATGCCAGTAGTTTGAAATTACGCATAGCAGAAAATAATTCTTTTCAGAATTTATGGATGTACTTTCGACATAATTTAAATAATGGTTATCTCAAGCATTGTTGATTTCAATTTACTGGACAATAGGAAATTAGCATTAGTACAGAGCTGTTTCGTTATTGTTATATAAAGCTATTTTACGTCTCTGCCAACTTATACAGACTTATTATTTATGTACGGTAAAATAATCAAAATGTTGGTAATTGATAAATGTTTTTAGATTCATAATACTTTATAAAATCATCATAAATTAGTTAAGTCATGGTGATTTAATGAATTTACTAACAGACAGTAATTTTAAAACTTTTCTAATTCTTGTGTTTATTATTTATAATAATTTATATAAAAATTATGACTTTATTATTAAATTTGATTTTGTGCTGTGCCCGGTTGTTATATCTAAGCCTATTAGTAACCAAATGACCGAAGTCATATGTCTCAGTTCTGTTCTTTGTGAAAGACTGAACTGCAGTATGGTATTTCTGTTGTAAATGTAACCAATTTAATCTAACCTGAAAGTGAGGTTAGGTTATGATGTTATAATAAAAACTATCTGATGTTTATCATAAGATGAGTATTTTTTAAAATTCTTACATTTTTTTGGTATCTTAAGTAATGCTAACATTTATAAAACTACACACACATGCACAAAAAAGAAGATAAAAAGGCATTAAATTGAAATTTTTTGTGTAGGTGCATAGTGAGCAAATTACAGTTATCAGTGGTATGCTTTTTCCCTGGTTAGTGCTAATGAAGAAAATCATATTCCTTTTGAAAATTTTGCATTCTTTGTATTCTTAAACAGTAAAAAAGCATAACCAAGTAATTAAGGCCCATGTCAAATGGACTGAGACTTAACTGTTTGTAGTTAATAGGTATGAAGATGTAGTTATGTCTGGTGCTGTAATTTCAATTTGTAGATATTCTCTTGGATAAGAATTTTTTCTGATTTCTGTTGAGAGAATTAGATCTGTATTGTTCTTACATTTCATAAATGTATGTATGTATGCATATATATATGTAATATTAGTACAATTTTGGAAGCATTGAAGTAAGAAAACTGAGATGCAAATGCATGGCAATACTGATGTCGTAGATACTTGATACTTAGAGCGTCCATCCATTTTGAAGAAGAAACAGTCAATCCGAATCAAATTCAACATTTATTTAAATTCACATTTTGGTGGCCACAATTCACTTGGCACTCCAGTTGTGCCCACTTCCAGAACATTCACAATTTTGATACTATACCGGTAGAAGCTATCATAAACGGCACGTAGATGATTGCAGCAAAGCATCTTAACAGGATGAAAGCTTAAGCAAAAAGAGGAAGAGTGTTGCAATAGTAATGCAGAAGAAGTCAAGTTTCAGTTCGAGTTAGTTTTGGTTTACACTTATTTTGATTGGGCAAGAGACATCTGCATTAAGCATTACGCATGATTAATTTGAATGGTGCCATTTAAGACTTATAGTGCTATTTTAGATAGAGAGAGGAAGTTCCCAAGTTACATAAAAAAAAAGAGGTTATAGCCAATTAAAATTAGAAGTTTGCTTTTATATTATATTTTTATCTTACATATATATGTAATTTTAAAGTTATTGATTTATTGAGCTGCCCCGAGATAAAAACAAATTAACTTTAGTTTTTTTATTGCAATTTATGTTATTAAAATTGATTGCAAAGTGTAAAATTTTATTTTATTTGAAGTTGATGTGTTGATTAATGAATTAAATATATTTCTAACAAAATATAATTTTATATCATTTAATTGTTATTGCATTTTGCCTGACAGCTTTGTAATTAATGCAACAAGTAGTGTAAGGATGTAAAGATAATTTAACATTAATGGGATATTTCTTAATATGAAAATTTATCAATAATAGCGTGCTTTAATGTTTATGAGCAATGATTTGCTAATGAAAACTCCTAACTGCATAAACCATGTATGATCACAGCCAACTCCTTTGTTTAATTGTGTTCTGTTAGCTATTTTGTAAATTTTTATAGTTATGTCTCCCATATTTGCCATTTCATGCAAATAGAAGTTATCTACTTTTAGACTGCATTATATTGTTGCAAATTTGGGTATGTGCTAATTCTTGTGCATTGAAATTATGCATAATTCATGAAAGCATGTCCAGGAAGTTTGACATGGATAAAACTAAAAGAAGGGAGGAAATTAATCATATTTAAAGGAATCATAATTATCATTTGAAATAAATAAATCACATTTATAATTATATACTATTTATTTAATATTGTTTGTATCTAGGAAAAGCTACTTTTATCTTTTTTATTTACAACATTAATTACAGATTGCAACACAAATATGAAATTTTTAATGTCAGGCTCTTTAAATAGATTTTTATATATGCATATTAGTGAAGTCATGTTAAAATAGTTTAATATTGGTCCCATGCTGAAATTTTACATCATTACATATCGAGGTGAAAGAGAATTTCTAGCTGTTAGTGCTGTATACTTGACAGCATGGTTGCAATCCAAATACTGATATATACAAGCAATTAATCCATTATTTCTTTATTGTATTTTATTCTGAAGGTGCATCATAATTGTTTTAGAATCTTAATCTAAAATGTTTTAAATCATGAAGATGCACTGATGATCATTAACATGCTAGATATAATTCTCTAAATAAAAATAGCATCATCCTAGCTATATTTATTTTTTGATATTTTTATTTATTTTTTCTGATTTGTCCTTTAGCTGCTTCTTTCTCAATATATATAAAGTGGTTTGTATTTATATGTCTCAATATACGAGGCACGTCCAGAAAGTAAGTTCTGTTTCAATTTACCTCCGCTGCAGGTCTGCGATCGCAGTTCTGCACATGCGCCGTAGACGCTCTGTATCAAGGAGAAGAAACGCGTGCCATTTTTAGATCGCTGTCAGTCACGTACGCTTTGTTGTGCTTGTTTACAATGTCGGTGTTGTCAAAATCCCGCCGCTTGTTAAATCAGATCTGTGATTCGTTTTCTGAATGCAAGGAAAGTGAAACCTAGTGAAATTTATCGGCAAATTTGCGATGTTTACGGACCAAAAGCAATGAGTGATTCAATGGTGAGAAAATTGGTTCAAAAGTTCAATGACGAACGTAGTGATGTGCACAATGAAGAACGAAGTGTCGTCCATCTTTGGTACAAAGAACTGGTTCACGTGATTGATGACAAGATCCATGAAACCGAAGGTTTACAATTAGTGCTCTCGCTTGGAATTTCCCCAAATTTCACGATCACTAATGCATGAAATTGTTACCGAAAAACTGAAATTTCGTAAACTTTGCCCATGTTGGGTACCAAAGATTCTTACTAAGGCAACAAAAAACAAAACGGATGGGTAGTGCATTTTAGTTTTGACCCGTTATGCGAACTGGCAAAGAATTTCTGACACAGATAGTCACCAGGAGATGAAACTTTGGTTTCTTACGACACCCCTGAAAGTAAGCGGCAATCAATGGAATGGAGGCACACTTCATCCCCAGCAAAGGTTAAGCCGAAGCAAATCTTGACACCTCAAAAAATGATGTGTACAGTTTCTGGGACTGGAAAGGCATCTTACTCATTGATTTCTTACCGCATGGTCAAACTATCAGAGCAGATGCTTTTTGCGAGACACTTCAGAAATTGCGCCGCGCAATACAGAATAAGTGCCGAGGATTGCTGTCAAAAGGTGTTGTTTTTCTTCACGACAACGCACGACCACACACTGCAAATGTGACAAAAAATCTCCTACAGGGATTTGGCTGGTACGTGTTTGACCATCCTCCGTACAGCCCTGACCTCGCTCCTAGCGACTTTCATCTGTTCTTACATCTTAAGTCTTTCCTTGGCGGTCAACACTTCCAACAATGACGACGAGCTGAAAGAAACTGTTTCCAACTGGTTGAAGACACAGGTGGCAAATTTCTATGAAGAAGGTATACAAAAACTTGTGCCACGCTATGACAAATGCCTGCAATATTTCGGCATTACGGGCTGGCTGCATGGGTGTTTTCTGTAACTGTACACAATTTACTTTTATTACCAAACGGAACTTACTTTCTGGACGTACATTGTATATAAGGGCCCACCAGCGGCCAAGTGGTAAAGTCGCTGAACACTGGTAGTTCGGTCCGAGGTTTGAATCCCGCAAACGGGCTGGCTGCATGGGTATTTTCGTGGTTTTTCCCATGTGTAACGTGTATACAAGCCAGTTTCCCTTAGAAAGTCCTCCACGGAGGCATCCCTCCCCTTAGGCAGATAGCCGTCGAGGCTTTGCCTTAATTAAATAACCTAACCTCAATATATATAAAGTATATGCTCATATCTCAAACTATCTTTAGAAAGATGGTTACTGGAATCAGACATGTGTTTTACTAATTTGTGCAGCAGAACATTGAATTTTAAACATATTTTCATCATTTCCTCATTAAATTCTTTTTTCCAATTTCGGTATAAACAGTCTGTTACTTGTGTGTAGGATAAGTACATTTTTCTCAAAAAGATTAACACTAATTGTATTATTCAATAGATTATGCTGTTTTGGGCTTTCCAATTAAACATTACAATATTTACACATAACAGCATGTGCATCCCTTAAATACAAACCTCTTTGTTCTATCAGTTATTTATTCTTATGGCAACCTACACTCATAAAAATTAATATCACTAAATTCTGTTATGTATTTAAAAAACTATATTAAAAAAGTTACTTATTTCACATGGCTGAACTAGCTGAGTGAGGTAACTGTAGTGGAGCAAAGCAAATGAGCAAGTGAGGGGGGCGGTAAGTGAATTTTATTACTTACAGGTGGGCAGTGTGTGTAAAAGTGTTGACTACCTTTAATGTGTGGATATTGTCTAGGTTTTAGAGTCTATGGGTACTGTTCCATTCCAAACAGTAGTAAAGAAGTATGTAGTGTGTTTTTTAAGTAAGGGCTGTTTTGTTGTATACACTAATAGGTGGCTCACACGCCACAACGAGTGCTTGTGTTGTGTTCCAGCATTTTTTGGAAAGAACTGTGCTCAGTTGCAGCTATGTAGGTAACCTGTATGCTCTGTTCTCTGTCTTTAAAATGTTCAAGATTATCGAATTGCCTGGCCCGTGCGACGTACGGTCAGTGATGCATTTTTTTGTCAGCAAGAAACCTTTCTGCTGCAGACATTCATCAGCAGATTAGTGAAATTTATGGAGCTACTGCTATGAGTGAAGGCAAAGTGCTAAGTGGGTCAGAGACTTCAAAGCTGGCCGTGACAACCTTCATGATGTCTTACAGTCTGGTCAGCCGTCTGTGATCGCATGCGATATAGTGGCTTCAATTGAAGCGAGCATTCTTGAGAACCGGCACTTCACCATAAGCCCTCTTCCAAACGAATTTCCTGAAGTGTCTAGGTCAGTGTCATACAAGCTTGTTTTTTAAAAGATAAGGTTTAAGAAACAGTGCTCCTGTTGCGTCCCTAAACTCCTAACGGAGGATCACAAAAACGAAAGATTTGAGTGTTCACTGAATTTTTTGATTCATTACAGTGAAGAAGGTGATGCCATGTTGAGTCGGATCATGAGAGAAGACTAAACATAGGTTTCACATGTCACGCCCAAATGGAGTGAAGACACACACATACTCTTCTGTAAGGGTCAAGGCCAAGCAGACTCTGTTCCAGTGCAAGATCATGCCGTTCATGTTTTGGGATAGGCATGATGTTTTGTTAGTCGAACTCATGCAATGCAGAACTACCATAAATGCAGTAGCCTACAGCCAAACCCTGTGAAAACTACGCAGAGTGATTCAAAAGCAAAAGATGCAGCATGCTGGCAGAGGGAATTTTGCTATTCCATGACAATGCAAGTCCTCGCACCACAGCTCAGGCCCAAGCTTTATTGGCCTCTTTTGGCTGAGAAGTTTTGGACCACCCTTCCTACAGCCCAGACTTTGCATCAAATGATTTTCATTCTTTCCTGTATTTCAAACATGATCTTGGCGGCAAGCACTACAATGATGATGAAGACGTGAAAACGGTTGTGACCTTTTGGTTGTAGGAGCAGGCAGTAAGTTGCTTTGAAGAGGATATTTAAAATCTAGTTTTAAGGTATGATAAAATTTAAATAATAAAGTGTTTAAACAAAATTAACAGCTATGTTGAAAAATAGAGAAACATATGTAGAATATGAAAATAAATTTGGTTTTTGAAAAATTTCTTTCATTTGGTTTTTATTTTCAAATGGCCCTTACTTAAAAGACACCCCTCGTATTTTATAAGAAACAAAATTTAATGTGAAAAAATTCTATAGCAGGGGTTTTCAATGTTGGAGAAAAGAGAAATTCCCTCCTAGAGAGAATTTCATTGTTTCTAAAGGGAATGCAGTCAGCATTTTATTTACCTGTTAAGTATTTAGTTTTAGTTTATGAATGCAAAAAACAACTCTTATTCAAGTTTTGTTATTTATCAGCATTTTCTATATTTTAATTTACAGAGCACTTTAAAAAACAATCTAAATTTAAATACAGTAAGACCCCGCTTAACGCTGTTTTGTTTAGCGCTGTTTCGGTTTAGCGCTCTTTTATTTCAACCCGGGGATTCCACGAAATCACTTGCAGCATACGGGGATTCCCCAAAATATTATGCAGCGATAGGTTTCAAATACATATCCGAAAGAGTGTACTTGTATTTCTTGTTTGGTGCGGTATTGTACAGACATATTTTGAAGGGGTAAATGTGGAAGATGTCGAAGAATATATTCAAGAAGCAGCGGCTAGTCTTTCTAATGATGAGCTCAAGGATTAACTGAACAAGAGAAAACAAAAAGTTGACAGCAGGATTCAGAAGAAAGCAAAAGAACTTCGATGGCGTTTGTAAAAGGGTTTGTATACCATAACTGAAATAAGGATCATTCATGAAAATGATCAGATTTGACAGGAACTCAAAGTAGGCTGGTGTTAGAGAGCTCTATCTTCTGAAGAACTTTTAAAGAAGCACGCAAAAGAAAAAGGCAAACAACATTAGATGCTTTTGTCACAAAAAGGCGAACACTTAAACGTGGAGGCTACTAAATATGACTGCTGAGATTTTATTTGTTTTTTTTTAGAATATTCGTTTGTATTTATTTGTTTTTCTTTTTGCAAAAAAAATATGTGGGTATTAAGTTGGCTTAAGAAAGAAATGTTTGTGTTTATTTTATTATAAACATTTTTAAATTTAATACCTACCAATTTCCGTGCATCTCCCCTAACCCCAATATTTACATGTAAAGTAGCCTCGTTTAGTGCTGTTTCGCATTACGCTCTACTTTGATGGAACGTATCCCCTGCATTAAGCGGGGTCTTCTGTATATGTGTATGTATTTTTCAAGTTTGGGAAAAGAAGGGGGAAATATCATCTAACAATGGTGAAAAAAGTTTGAGAACCACTGTTCTATGCTGCCAATATTTATATTTTTGCAGCGTGGTTAAATGTAAAGTGTATAAATTCACATACTTAAGCGATGTGTGCTTAAATTCATTTGTGGTACACACATATATGTTGGTTATTGTCACGTGTATATCAAACCATTTTCCAAAAGCGCCACAATTGTACTAAATGTTGAAACTCGTGGGGCGGGGGTGCAGATAAGTAGATAAATTTTAATTCAGTGGTTTGGGACTTTTTAATAAGTGGATGTAAATAACAGTATTAAACTAATTATAATTATGAATTTAATTAAAATCATCAAAAGCTACCTTGTTTGATATATATTTTTAATAAATCTGTCAAATTTGCTTGACTGTGTGTTCTTGCCCTCAAAATTGATAGGGTCTTATTTATATATATGTTTCATTAATTGATCAAAATTATTTGCTGTATTCAATATTAAAATAAAAATATTTAATTTCCTGAATCTTGCTTTAAAATATCTTTACCTTTCATTTTGGTGATTTTTGGATATATTGATTCTAAAGCTTAAGCAGTTAATAAATGTTAAAATACATAATTTCCCTTTTTTTAGCAAAAGCAGAAATACTACTGTAAATATCTAGAAATTAATCACATTTATCTAGTTTTACATTTTTATAAGTATTTTCCTCCATGTAATAGTTTCAAAATATTCAATAAAATTTGCTTAAAACTTTTTTCATTTAAAAAAAAAAAAATGCTCAAAAAAATCTGAAAGCTTTCAGATTTTATATTACGCTCAAATGGACTTTTTTTTAGCGTTTCTGTGGTATCTTTATTTATAAACATCATGTTCTTCGCAACTTACCATAAAAATCAATTCAAAGCAATATTATAAAATAATTTTAAACTGCGCATATCTTGAATTTCCGATACACATATCAGCACTGGGATCAAAAAAAAAAAAATTGTAGTGTTGACTCCCTCTCTTTGAAATTGTTGAGTTGTTAATCAAAAAGGCATTAAAGATTTAACAATATGAAAGATGAAAAACAATTCAAAATGCGTTCCAGGGCCCATATTCAGGGGGAAATGTAAGTTATTCAAATTGATGGTTCTAGGGGGTTGGATCACAAGGAGAGAAACATACATTTATGGCAGATTCTTCATTATTTAATTTCTTTAAATATAATACAGGGCTGTATATTTGGTGGCAACAGTTTGAGAAGTGAACCAACATTTAAAGTTTTCAACACAAAATGCCAATACGAAATTAATAGTCATTCAGGGCTAACGCCTTTTGGGCTAAAAATTGAGGATGGTATTTGTGCCATAATCTTGATTAAATTTTAAAGTAAATAGATTGGCATTATCAAAACTATAAATAAAAAGTGATCGCTCCTCCTTTTGTTTGTTGAGGAACTGCAGTCATTAATCAGGACTAGAATCGGGTTTCGTATCTAAACAATGTAATATTACTTATGATTTCTTATAGTCGTTTTCCACATACAATCCAATGATTTTATTTAGAATATTAGTTAACTATCTTAATCTAGCATGCAGATGTTTTATGTGAAATTTTTTAATTAAAATATGTCAGCAGGTAATATAATAGAATGTTCAGCATCATACTTGATTGGAGTCTTGTTTAAATTATAGTATTGTGTAATCTCTTCAGCTTCATGAGCCTATGACTAAGATAAGAAATTTACAGATTACATTGCTGGCTAAAGTAGCTCTTTTTTTTTTTTTTTTTTTTTTCCTAAGGGGCAGTTTGCCCAGAAGAACTATTAATTTCGTTTTGGCATTTTGCGTTGAGTCACAATAAGCGTTGTTTCATTTCAATTGTTGCCACCAAATATTATCGCCTTGTATTATATTTAAAGAAATTAAATAATGAACAATCTGCACGAATGTATGCATATTTCTCATATTGTGATAAACAACAGTACACATAAAATTTTTTAATATAATCTTCCATAGAATATGGGCATGTGAAAGCCCTAATTTGAATTTGAAATTTGTTTTATTGTTGATCTCATATTTTGTAATGCTTCAACCAATTTTAATTAACAAAGTAAACGATTTCAAAGCGAGCAATGGCAACACTGTATGAAAAAAAAAATATCTCCAGCTCGCCAGACTCTGTATTGGAAATTCTAAAGATATGCTCATTTTAAAATTATTTTGCGATATTGCTGTTGGACTGAATTTTATGGTTTGAGTACGTATAACATGATATTTAATAAATAGAGGTAACACACAAAATGTTAAAAAAATGCCCCTTTGGATGTAATTTAAAATCTGAAACCTTTCAGATTTTTTTTTAAATGTGATAAAAAAAAATTTAGGTAATACATGTCACTTAGCTCATATTATAATATTATTAAGTGATTAATTACAGTATTGTTTTCAAAGGCTTACAAAAGCTGTAGCAATAGATTGTGAAATGGTTGGAGCTGGTCCAAATGGTGAAGATTCTATATTGGCTCGTGTATCCATTGTTAATGCGTTTGGAGAATGCATATATGATGAATTTGTGAAACCAACTGAGAAAGTAACTGATTACAGAACTCATGTTAGTGGTATCCGACAAGCTGACTTATTAAAAGGTATGATGTTCAGAAATATATCTTGCTGTCTTATAGAAAAATTACATGGCAATGTTTATTTGGAATTGAGATTTTTATACCAGTGAATAAAGGTGTTAGTGTATTATTATATGTATAGCAATATTTACTTGTAAAATGTGTGTGATATTTTTTAACATATGTGAACTTTGTTTAATGGAGTATGTATTTTATACTATATATTTTGGCGTATAATGCGTACTTTTAATACAAAAATAGATCGGAATTTACGGGTGTGCATTATAAACCGAATATAAAAATGATAGATTTAAAAATAAGAAGATGAATTTACAAAAACTACATTTCTGCATGTACCTAAATGCTATTTTTTTAAAAGAAAAGACATACTTACGAACTTAAAATTTTCGTAACGAGATACCATGAAAAGTTCATATTCGTCTTTTGTTATATCATCAGGCACATCATCGAATTCTATTTCATCTTCACTATCACTGCTGCTCTGATCCATAAATAAATAATCATCTTTCATTTCATCTATTTTGTTAGATATACTAGATTTTTTAAATAACTTTTGAATTATGTCAAGTTTAATTTCATTATATGCTTTTATTATCCATTCATACAGTATTTCCAGACTGGCATAATGTGTTTGGCCTCCTTTTGTAAATCTTTTCACCTGCTAACATCCATGTATTCCACTGTCGTTTTAAATTTTCTTTGAATAGGTTTATTGATACACATATCTAAAGGTGTTAATCTGCCTGAAATCATGTCTGTATTACACTCTTCCAACAATTTCTTCATATTATCCATTAGATGGGATATGAATATTATTCAAACTAAAAGACTTTCTACATTCTTTAGGGAAACAGGATATATTTGCCAAATATTGTTGTTTGCAATTTCTCACATTTTTGTTCATCCATGTTTTCGAGTGCACATGAATTAAAATACTATCTGGGAAATTACATTTCAGCATCTTTTTTCTTTTGAAAATAACCGTGGATTTAAATTTTCTATCATCAGCCAAGCAGAAAATCACTGCAGTGATATGAGACTGAGATTTTTTTATGACCTGTTGTTTTAAAATGAACTATTTTTGTTCCTTTCACATATTGCTTTATTTCCTGTCATACTAAACATTACAGAAGTCAAACAACAAAAATCAGTGTTATATTTTCAAATTTTCACAGCACTAGTTTCGATAGTTTTACCGAACCACCATCATCAGCTGCAAAAGCGCAAATGAACAAGATAGGAAATAATGATAGTTAAGATAAGAAAGCCTGGACAAGAATAAGCAAGTGGCGCCATCTGTTGGCGAAACCAGAACTAAAACATAATTTCTCTAAAAGCCGAAGGCAAATTTGGATTGGAATTAGGATCGTTAACTAGAACAGAAAGATTTTTATGAATGTGAAATGCCTCTAGAAAATCCAGTTCTCCAATGGAAGATGTTTTTTGAATAATTTTGGCAGCAGAAAAATTGAAAGTGTGATTTTCGGACCAACAATGTTGAGCAACAGAAGACTTCTGTGTTTCCTTTTTTCTAACATATGCCTCATGTTCCTTGACGCGAAATTTTAAGGCTCTCTTAGTTTGGCCAATGTAAATTAAACCACACTGGCAAGGAATCCTATAAATACCCCAGGAATTCATATCCGGAATGGGGTCCTTGAGTATAGAAGTTGGAATTTTATTGATGGGAGAATAAACAACCCGAAAGTTAAATTTCTGCAAAATATGTGCAACTTTATAGCTAATTGATGGAAAGAAGGGAATGACAACAGAATTTTTATAATCTCCTAAAATAAGAGTGTGGCTTTTAGTGTGTTGAGATGAGAATTTTTTAACTGCTTGATTAATAATGTTGGGTGAAAAGCCCCTGTCAATAGCTATTGCTTTTAAATAATTTAGTTCTTCATCAAGGGCTAGTTTGGAGGAGCAAACTTGAAGAGCACGGAAAACATAGGAATAAAATGAAGCTAACTTTTGTTTAGTCGGATGACATGATTTAAAGTGTGGTGGAAGGCAAACCGATGAAGGTTTACGGTAAACTGTAGTACTGAAGTTGGATGTGTTACGTGTGACCAGAATGTCGAGAAACGGAAGAGAATTGCAAGTCTCAAGTTCAAAAGTGAACTGAATAGCAGGATCAATAGAATTCATTGTTGAAAGAACTTTATTTAAATCATCTTTATTACCTTCAAACAGGGTAAAAGTATCGTCTACGTAGCGGAACCATGCCGGGAAGTTTAAAGTTTCAAACAATTTTGATTCATAATAATGCATGTAGATATCAGCCAGGATGGGACTGAGGGGGCTTCCCATGGCTAATCCCTCAGTTTGCTTGTAATATTTATTTTGGAAAACAAAATGTGTTTGTTTCAAACAGAGTTGAGTGAGAGAAATTAGCTCATCAATTTCGATGCAAGAGAAATGAAATTCGCGAAGTCTGGTTTCTAGACATCTTAATGCACCCTCCACTGGGACATTGGTGAATAATGATTTTACATCAAAAGAAACCATGAGTAAATTACTAGGAGAAATGTTTTTAAACTTTTTTACAAACTCTATTGAATTTTTTATGGTGTAAATGTTATTGTCTAATAGAGTGGAAAATCTAGAAACTAAATATTTAGCTAATGGATACGAGGCAGTACCTAAATTTGATACAATAGGGCGGAAAGGAATACCACTTTTATGAATTTTGGGAAGAGCATATAATCTGGCACAATTCGCAACAGATGGGATAAGCGAATGTTTTAAGTTGCTTGAAATGATTTGCGAAGATTTGATCGCAGTTTTTATTTTGGATAAGTCCGAAGGTGAAGGATCTTTAGGGATCGGATTATATGGTCCTTCGTTTAAGAGTTTAGTGACACCATCGATGTAAGTGTTCTTATCCATGACGACTATCTGGCCACCTTTGTCGGCCTTTGAAATGATAATATCCGGGTTAGAATGAATTTCGCGCATTGTAGCTCTTTCTCTCTGTTAGATTTGGTTTCAAAGGTTTATTATTGAATTTCACATTATGAGCGATAAGATGCCTAATCATTTCTTTCTGTGAATCTGAAACTTTACTGAACTTGAAAGCTTTTTCGATAGGAGCCAAAATCTTTGGAATCGAGGGTTTACAGGTTTGTGAGAAGTTAAAATTATATTTTAGAATTCTCTCTTGTTCTTCTGAAAGACTAACATTAGAAATATTAACTATTGGCTTGATGTTTACAATGGGAAGATTTTTTGAACTACTTGAACTGGAAGACTGTAAAAGAAGTTTTTCGAATTTAACTGCAAGGGTGTTTTTATGACGGTTAACTGCATTCTCCGTTCTAGACCAAGACTTTTGTTCAAGGGCAGTGAATTTTGGATATGAATTTTAGCGAGTTCCAGATGAAGCTTATAGAGTTCATGTTCAATTTTGGACAATTGTTGACGTGTATCCCTTATCACGGACCGAAGTAAGGCAAGTTTGCAATTTAACAGAATTCTTGAAACGCGACTCGAAGGTTTTTGATTAGATTTGATTTGAATAAAATTGGGGATCAATTTTTTACATTTACATTTAAGTAAAAAGTCAAGTCATTCAGAACATTTTTTAATTTTTGCCGTTTCAGGCGTAATTTAGTGAAACGATTAACGGATGAAGGCATGATAAACAATGCAGAAAATCAAACTAAATTAACTAAGCAATAATAAAGTACACACAAAACAGCAGAAAAATCCCTCACTGAAATGAATAGAAAACAAAATGTTTGTAAGCAAAATGCATGAAATCAGACAAGCAAGCACAATACCCAAATATACAAACACAAAAATAACTTGAAAATTGCAAAAAAGTACTTACCGAAACCCATACAATCACAAAATGGCGGCCACACCATGTGCAAAAAAGGAAGCAAAAATAGCCGTTTTGGCTCGAAACACATACAACCCAAGACAATGGGAACCACGTGGAAAAAAGAAAGCAAAAAATAAGCCTGTTTGGGGCTTCTATAATTAAGACATAATAACACGCCAAACAAATAATAATTCAGAAGTCAAACAACAAAAATCAGTGTTATATTTTCAAATTTTTCCTGCGAGTCTAGTCCTGTGAAAATTGGAAAATATAATGCTGATTTTTGTTGTTTGACTTCTGAATTAGTATTTGCTTGGCATGTTATTGTGTCTTAATATTAAACATTACTGGAATTTCATCTGTTTCCAGTATATGACAGTATTTTTTTTTTCCTTCGTAGATCCATTACATACTTCTGGAAATTTATGAATTTGTGGTCCAGATCTTTCACAACCCTTTGTGAAACTTTCTTTTAGAATGAAATTATTCCATGCCATAAACCGATTACACAGTGAAGTTGCTTTAAAGTTTTTCATTTTCATTCTTTTCTTGCCCACTTTAAGGCAAATAAACACAGTTTTTTGTTACAATAAATCCATTCTGGTGATTTTCTAGGACCCAGTTCTTTCTGGGATACTTTCTTTCTGGCCTACTTTTTTCTGGGATACGCTATTTTGTTACTGCTTTATACAAAGCACATTTATTATTTGGTGTATTAATTATTGTGGTTTCATCTTTCTTCCACTCATCTGTGGAGCTTTCACCAATACCAAACCACCTTGCTGTAGCACAATATCCAATTTTCTTCCACAAATTGAAGGATTTTTTGAAGGCAGCACTATTTTGTTTCGTTTGGCTGGATTCCTGTTTACTTCTAAAAGGAACACTAGATCAATTATATTTCAACTATAGCTTTCCATGTTCACTTCAAAATCATGACTTCAAATGCCTGCAGAATGAAAAAACACTGACTCCCAATTCTGGAAATTCATTCGGATGAAAAGTGCATTCTCATCGCTAATTGTGTCCTCCCCTTCTCAAACACTAGAATAACATTCTTGCATACAGCTGCACTGTATACAACCCACCTTGTTTGCAGAATTATTTACTTCATCAAATAGTTTCCCCCCTATATGTATTGTTCTCCTTATTGCTTGTCAGTTCAATATATCATTGTTTGAAAGCCTGGGGGGGGGAAATCTTCAAATGAATGCCTTCAGATGTAAGAACATCGTGCAAGCATCATCATGCATCCTTTTTAGTAATTTTGTTCTCCTGATGAGGAGGGACCTGTAACTGCCCTCAAAATCGATTGAGTGTTTTAATAAAAGTAGGCGAAATACAAGGTTGTTATAGCGATTTTGATCATGCATGTATTTTTCAGGTTTCTTCATAAACAAAAGGATGAATATTATACGACAAATGTACCTAAAAATTAAAAAATCTAGTTTGAAATTATAGATCTGCATTATAAGCAGAATAGATGGTATTACTACATTAAATTTTTACTGCCAAAAAAGTATAAAAGCATTAAAGTATTTGCACATGTATTCAAGAGAAAAATATGGGGTTGGAAAAATTAAATTATCTTCAAAATTTATGATGGAGAGATTGATATTTGAATTCAAGTTAGAGTCTTAGTTATTTAGAAATACTGTATATTTAGACTTATAATCAATAGAAGTTTTTTCCAGTTAGTGGTAAAAGGATTTCATTTTCATTATTGATATTGTATATACACTAATCCTTGTTATATTTATTAAATCTTTATTATAAACCAAAACAAGTTATGCATGTTGCATATTTTTATGTGATTTTCTGAAAACAAAATATAAATAAGTGAAGCAGTATTTGAATAACTTGAAAGTCAGGACACATTTTGTAAGTAAATTTTCTGATCAAAATAAAAATTTTGTGTTTGACCATGTAGCTTATATGAGCTCTGATATAGGTAGTCACATCAAAATGCTTGCAGACTTGATATAATAGATTATCTTAAATTTTCATTATTTTTGCTGCATTATAATGTGACTCAAAATGCACAGTATAGATTTAAAATACTCAATGGAATTTGTTTATCGAAAAATTTAAGATGGAAATGTTTTGTCCTAAATGATTAACTTCATATCCAGGTTACTGAGAACATAACCTCATTGAGTATTTTAAAAGGCTCATATAATTAATTAGGTTCACTTACGTTTTCCCATTATTTTCGGTAAGACAAATAGCTATCTAATTGTAATGTTAGTAAGAGAATTTCATTTGTCATTTGATTTTTATTTCTTCCAAAAGCATGCAGTTCGAGTAAAAAAGGATATCTTTATATTCATAAAAAAATATTTAGTGTGCTTCTTTTGATAAAATTAAAAAATGGAAATTTATAAAAATTTTTATTGCATTTTAACATTTTTCCTTTTTGACAACAAGCTAGCTGACTAACTGTATATATATATATGTATGTATGTATGTATGTATGTATATGTATGTAATGATAACTAAATATGTGTGTGTATATTGTATTTCCAACAATGTGCACTTCATTTAAATAGAAATAGATAAATGAAGTTCTGTCTCTAATGCTACTATTTAGATGTTGACATCATACATGTTAACAAGGAGAACTGATTGATAAAGAACATGATGCAGTCATGGCAAACTGAACACAATTTGTTCTTAAAAAAGCTTCCCCCCCCCATAGAGATAGGTAAATTATTGCAAAAAGCCTTTATTTGATATTTACATTGTTCTTATAATATTCTAAGAATAAAAGAGCAATAGACTGGAGCAAGCTAACAAAATAGAAACTAGAGAAGGAAGGCATGCTTTTCAAATGAACATTTGGTATGACTCAGTTATGAATTCACCTTGATTTGATTGGTTGTTTGAGTTTCAGTTTGTAATGGCTGAATAATTATAAGTGCTTAATATCATTAGCATTATTTAAGAACCATGTTAGAAGGATTAATTTTGATATAACACAGCACAGGGGGATTTATTGTAAGCAGTTATTATTTTTAGGTTGGAAAGGAGAAATAACCAAATTAAATGCGAGTTTTAAGAGGCTAGTGCAACTTAAAGTGAGATTTTTATTTTGAATATTTCTCGCTTCAAAAAGGAAAGGCTTGTGACAGAAAAGCCTTTTTTTTTTTAAGGGAAAAAGCATTAAATATTTAGAGAAAGCAATTAACTTCTTTTTGAAACAAGAAATCAGCTATGTCTTATTTGGAATTCAAACCATGAATCCACCAGTAGCTGGTTAGACATGGTATCAGTTATGAGAGCATCCACAGAGGAAGGCATTAACTCTTAATAAGAGTATTTATGTGGAATTATATATATAATAATAATATATATATAGGGTGATTCTAAATTGCTTTTACAAATTAAAAGGGGTGATAGTACTCATCGAGATGAGCAATAGTTATCATAGAACATAGGGTCGCATTCCATTCTGAGAGGCAGAAAAGAGGAATATTTGAATTCCAATCAGAACTTCCAATCAGAACTTACAATAGTGTTGGGAAAGAGAGTGAACGAGACCCAAAGTTACCCAATCAGTTTAGTGACAAACTCACAGAGAGTGCACAAAACCGATAAAACCGAAAACTTGGCGTTTGAGCCTTCATTGGAGCTCAGACTTTGATGGCAAACACTCAAATGCGCATCTTTGGTTCGCAAAGTCTCAACCTCGCAAACGATTGCAACAAGTTAATTATCTAATCAAGGGCTGAATATTATCAACTAACTCCAACTCAAGGTGGGTTTGATATTATCAAGGCAGCAGTTTTTTTCCTGTTCGCCATCTTCTACCCTGTCCTCCTGGATTTACTGTGCTGCGCTCATTCTGCTTGAATCGCCCTTCTATGGTACACGAAGTTCTGACAGATGGAACGCAGCATGAACTTTTCATTCTAATCTTAGCATACAGCAGAAGTTGGAGATAGTTGATAATATTCAGCCATTAATTAAGTAATTAACTTGTTGCAATCGTTTGCGAGGTTGAGACCTTGTGAACTAAAAATGTGCATTTGAGTGTTTACCATCAAAGTCTGAGCTCGAATATTAACACTTGAATGCCAAGTTTTCGATTTTATCCATTTTGTGCACAACTGTGTGCAACTTTTGGTCTCCTTCATTTGCTCTCCCAACACTGTTCTAAGTTCAGGTTGGAATTCCAATATTCCTCTTTTCTGCCTGTCAGAGTGGAATGCGACCCTATGTTCTATGGTAATTATTGCTCATTTGGATGAGTACTATCACCCCTCTTAATTTGTAAAAGCAATTTAGAATCACCCATATCAGCATCATATATATGTGTGTGTGTATGTAATGAAGCAAACTTATTTCTAATAATGTTGTAGAAATATTGATTATGCAATTGTTGATCCATAATGAAGAGCAACTTAGTAGCCAAGGCTGATTAAATGTTCATTTTTATTTTGGTAAACTTTTTCCAGCCATAAATTGGCACACTTGTGCTTTTCAAGAACATTTACCACAAAGTTAAGAGAAGCAGCAAACAGCAGTTTATCTAGGCCGAAGCACGAAATCAAATGTCTTGTATTCAAGATGAAATCTTAAGTCAGAATGAGTTAGTTTCAGTTTTCAATATATTTGATTCAATAACTAATAATGCTGTTATAAAATTATTATTGGCTGTTTGAGTTTTAGTTCTATTTATGTCACCAGCATTATATGTGTAAGAGTCATTTGACATCGATTAGTCTTGAAATGATGCAGTGAAGAAAAAGGTATTTTCTAATTTTAGAACACAGATAGATAAGGGAGAATATCCAAATCAAAATTTAAGCATTAAAGAGACTATTGTTCATTTAAATTATATTTACATATATATAGTATATATATATATATATATATCTTACATATTCTTCTGTTCAAGGAGAAAAAGGGCATTACGGCAGAAAAGCCTTTTTTAAATAAAATGCATTAAAGTAGTAGCAAATGAAGAGAAATATAAATCATAAATAATGATGACTTAATCTCTTCATCTTATTTATTGAATTTTGCTTCTACACAGCTTGTATGTAGGCATTTCAATTTTGATAATATTTGTATCCTTAGAGAGAAATTCTCTTAATCATGGATGATAGATGTTCATTTGTCAGTGTGATTTTTTTTTTTTTTTTTTTTTTTTTCTTATTAATTTTCAACTGTAAGAGGAAAAAATTGCTCACATATAGATGTGTTCCCAGACAAAGAGATTATTCATAAGGTAAAAATTTGTAACTGCCGTACCTTTTTTTAGTTTTTTGACTAGTATGATTAAAAGTTAATAAAATCTGTATTGTCAAATTTTCTAGTAAGATTTATATCACATTGTAAATTAATAAATCCATTTCTAGAAGTTCTAATGCATTATTCTGATGTATTTCTCTTTCTTATAGGCAAAGATCTTTCTGAAGTTCAAAAAGATGTTGATAGTATAATTGATGGAAGAATAGTTGTTGGACATGCTTTGAAGCATGATTTCAAAGTAAGTAGAAAATTATATGTAATGTATCATTTTTAATTATTTTATTGCTAACTTCATTGCTGTTGTATTTATTTAATACATTAGAATATCACACTTGACCTGGAAAATATTAGGTTGTCCAGAGGGGAGGGAGGAGTTTAAATCAAGAAGAAAACAATTTTCTTATAATATGTAAATACATCTATGTATTGACCATTTTGGTTTAATACCTCTTGCCATATTTCTGGTATTTTCTGACTCCATGCTCATTAAATTTCTGATAATGCTTTAAGGTTTAAAAATTTTTATTAAGACTTGAATCCTCTGAAGGTACCAGATATGGTGGGTGTGGTAGCATATCCCATCTAAAGTTGTAATGGCTGTTCAAAAGATATCAAACTTGTGTGAAATCTGGCATTATCATGGTGAAATGCTGCATCTTTACTGTTAATTCTGGCTTTTTCTGTTTGATGCTATTCTTCAGTGTGTCTAAATGATGTTAGAATATTTTTTAATCAGTTGTGGTTTGGAAAAGCTTGAAAAAAGTTCCTAAGAATCTCATCAAAGAAAGAGCGTAAATCTTTTCCAATGAATATCACCTGTCAAATTGCTTTGAAGTAGATCATCCTTTTTACTCCATTATTGCTTGCATTCAGCAGTTTGTAACTGATCAATTTCTCATCACCATTAATGATTTGTTTCCAAAACTGACCCATTTTCTTGAAGTTTGAGAAGCAAAACACAGATAACATGTATATTGAGCTTTGAAGCAAAATAAGTTGTTTCACATGATCTTAAATAGCTGAATTCAACAAATTTAATGCCCAACTGCGGCCAAGCAGTAAAGTTGCTGAACACTGGTAGTTTGGTCCAAGGTTCAAATTCCACAAACATTTGGCTGCATGGGCGTTTTTATGGTTTTCCCTATGTGTAGCGTGTATGTGACAGGGTTGCCACACTACCTGGAAAACCGGAAAAAGTCAGGGAATTCGGAAATTTACCAAAATTTCTGAAAGTCAGGGAATTTAAGTGTTTTAGTTAAAAATCTGGAAAAGTCAGGGAATTTCATACAACGATCCCGCCAAAAAAGGCGAGTTTTGCGCTGACGTCGGAAGAGATCACTTTTTTGGCGAAATGTGTATCACGTGTGTCATTCGGGCAGCTGGCATAGAGCCAATTTTCGCAGCTCCAATTTGATTGTCTTTTAGAAGGCAAAGCAATTTCCCGCAACTTTTGGCTTCAGTAACCTGAGAATCGCATGTGCAGTGCACGAACTAAAGACAGTACCTGTTCCGTAAATGGGTTTAAATCCAGTATACGGTACCATGAAGGTAGAATCAAGAATATGTATTGTAAGAAGGAAAACCTCTGTCGAACAGAGGTGCTCCGTTCCATCATAGAGGGAAACGCTGTGCATGCGATATATCTGTCGCCAAGTTCGAAACCGGTGTCGAAGTTCGAAGGTCACGTTATCAAGAGTTCATAAAATGAATATCGTTTACAATTTCTTTAAACTCTAAAGGAAAAGAAAATATTTTTGGGGCGCAGTAAATTAATTCATGGATTATGATTTTGAGGATAAAAAAAAAAGCTACGAAAATCCGTTTTTAAATTATTGCGAACATAAGAAAACGTTCTTTGATAAACTTTCTTCTGGATTTTTCGCAATAATTTAAAAATGGATTTTTGTAGTTTTCTTTTTTTCAAAGAACATTCTTGACATGATCATGAGCCGTAACGGGTCTTTTGTTCTTGGCGACAATTTTCAAAATAGTACGAAGGCCGTACCGTATAGTAGGATTTTCCCGCAAAATCTTTTTAAACCTTTTTTTTTTCCTTTTCTTTTTAATAAATGTCTTGTCATTTTGCAGTAAAATAAAAAAATAGTAATCAGTCATCTAGGCTAACCATGTAATATAACTATATTCGCTAAAATATCGTTTATTATTCTAATTAAATTTTTAAGTAATTATCTTTATGTTATCTATCTTTTTATGTTATTCATATCATTTAATGTTGCTTCTTCCCTCTAAATTTATTTATCATTAGTAAATATTATTTCCAAATTTCAGGAAATTTTCTCTGGCATAATCCTAAAATTAGTTCTAGCAGTATGATGACATACCATCACAAAATTTAATGCCATATTTTTTTCCTTATGTATACTGCGAAATAAATATAAAATACCTCAATTTATTAAAAAAAAATATATTAAATAGATTTCTTTCTTTCGTTTAGCTGCAGAAGTCTGCAAAAAAGACTTATTTTATTCCAGATTGGGCAGATTCTAATCTCAATCTTCATGGAGAAAACAACTCCTATTATATTATATTTGTGTTTTCAAGTGTTAAGGTGCCTTTTACGAGACACCTCATACAAATTAAATTTACCTAAAATCTAATCTAACATTTAGCATTGCGTTTGTTATTTATAAGACCGAATAGCCTCGTGTTGAACTGGTGATGATCATGAGTAATAATTAAAAATAAAACGTACAATTGTTATCCAATGTAATATATCTTATTAAAGTGAATTTGCTACACATACAAGTATACTATATTTAACATACCTCCTAGCACAGCCAATGTACATCACACGGATAGACTGTAATTTTCTCGAAACATACCTGGAAAACCTGGAAAAGTCAGGGAATTTCATTCTCGTGTTTGAGTGGCAACCCTGATATGAGCCAGTTTCCCTGAGAAAGCTTTCCATGAAGGCATCCCTCCCCTAAGGCAGGTAGCCCTCAAGCCTTTGCAATAATCAGACAAAACTAAGCTCAAAATTTTAATCTCTTAGAAATTTTGCTGTGTTTTTATATGGCAGTCTGCTTCAATCATAGTCTTTATTTTGTCTTCATTAGCTTCAACTGATCTTCCAGAACATAGTGCTTCTTTTAAGATCAAATTGTATTTACCGAATCAGTTTCGGCATTCAGTCAGTACATCTTCTTTGTATGTGTCACACAATATTTTTCCTGCTTAAATAGCATCCTTACCTTTTTGGTGATAAGAAAGCAAAATATGCTAAAAATATTGCTTTAAAACACTTGAACAGAATGAAACAATATTTTTGTACGTATAAGCCTTGAAACGTGAGCCGTCAAAACATATAATGACAATACGGTTTAGAATGAAATTAGCTGGTTAAAAATACAATCAATCCATTTGGGGGCAAGAAACAAAATTTCTTTCCAAACAACCAATGTACTCTGTTTTATAATTTTTTTACTAACAGTTTAAATGAATTGTAATCTAACCTTTTGACCAAAAACCTACAAAAAATGTAGAAATCTTGAGGAAAGCACTTAATAGTGGTGACATACATGTGCACAAAGAAAAATGCAGGTACATATGTTCATGCATATTCAATGAACAAGCAGAACATTGTTCAAATTTGAACTGTATGCATATTTTGTGACCTTAAAGTAATTTTTAGAAATTAAGCAATATAAGACTTTAATGAATCCATTTTTTAAATAAATCTTTGTTAAAGCCAAGCCCTATTAAATTAATTTCACATGATAGAAAGATTCAGTTAGAATTGGAAGTATATTTAGCTTGTTGTAGGGGGGGGGAATAAAGGTGACTTTAAATCAGTTATACAGTTTTAAAATAATTGGAATGTAGACAAATCTGTCTTTAATGTAACTAAATTTGGAGAGATAAATTGATTATCAAGTTTTCATGTTTCAGAATTTCTCTGCAATTCAAAATTTAGAAGTTGCCAGCAGTGATTCTCTATATCCATCCGTAATATGTTTCCCAAATTTACTGTGGATACATGAAACTGCTGAAAAAGCAATGCTGCAAAAAATAGGTTTTAATATAGCATATGTAATTATAGTTTTGTTTAATTAATAAATTAAGCAAATAAGACAATACATAGATCTAACTCATTATTAAGATTTCAGGACTGGAACACAACTCTCATTTTTTAAAGGACCTGCTCTTACCCCTCTGGCTACAAAGTCTGATGAATTCAATATATATGTGCTATATATGTGTGATCAAGTTTTAGAACTGCTAAGAACTTGAATCTCTCTCACATGATTAGATAGTAATTGTTTTCACTTGATGATGTCCTTTGCTTAGAATAATGTGATCTGGCAGTCTATCTAAAAATGAACTATCTCCTTTTTGCTTTATAATTTGTTTTTTACTTCTTTTACAAATCTCTCTGTGCCCTCATGAGTTCAAATTTTGGTAGAGTCAGTTTTATTAATAGGGCATCATGACATTTCAAAGCAATTAGATACACTGAAATTTTGTGAACGTATTTAACTCTTAGGTACATTAAGATTCCGTATGCCTTTTGGCTGGCACTGAAATAAGGCATGGATTTGAAGTTGGTTGATATCACCTAGATTACAGTGGAGGATCATCCTAGGGACTTGAAAGCTTGTAATATCAGAAAACTCAAACCTTCGTTAAGTATACATTTGGAGAAATTTTAAGTTATGTATATTACGAACACTTACTAAGCCATAATTCTTAAAATGGACGTTTGAGTCTGATTGGGAACATTGCTAGATGACTGAGTACATAATATACTTTTCTCGCTGTTTTCAACGCAGCTCTTTTTGTGTATGTGTGTGTATCAGTTCGTTGGTTATTAAGCAAGTCTTTTTAATCTTTAGTTATGTAGTCTTGATGCCTGTCCACAGAAGACAAGAACCTTATGTAGTTCGTCAGTAGGATTAACCTCAGAATGATTGGGATGGGTTTTGAACCTGTTTCCCATGTTTGTACCACTTCCTTGGTGTTGGAACTCCACTTTTACAAGTTTTGCCATTTTTTTACAGTACTAAGAACATATCTATGTTCAATCATATATATCCTTCATTATTTAATAATGCAAATTGATGGTAATTTTTTTTTGGTAGTTTTTGATAAATCAAAAGTTCTTTTGAATACATAAAAATATAGCTTAATGAAAATTGTAATTCTTTTTAAGAATGCAAATTTTATTGCTATTGAAATAAAGAAAAACTGAGCAAAATGATATTGTTTAATTTTCACTCAGTATTTTGAAACGTGATATATCTTCTTTCCAGAAATAAAAAGATAATGTATTTACATTAGTGTTTTCTTATAATGGTACTACCGTTGAAAGAAAAAGAGATAATACCAACTGCAAAGAACTTTTAGTAACTTTTAAGTAAATATCTATTCGATTCTTCAACAGAACCATATGTAGTATTTTGTATTAAAAATATACAGTAAAAAGTTTGATTTACTTATGTATCAAAATAATTTGTTGTGCATTATAATTTCTATCTTTTTTTGTAAAGTAACATGAATATATTCTAAGAATCCCACTAATTGTTTAGAAACAAATTACAAGAATTCTGAATTTTGGGGATACTTGCTAGAAATTTTGGGGCTGCTCTAGCAGCAACAATCAAGGTAAGTTGCATAAATTTTCACAACTAGTTTCAAATGCTTAAAGTTAACTTCTTCAGCTACAGGAATGAAAATGTGGAAGAATAAAAATGTGATCAGGCAATAGCAGAAGAATGACAGAATTTGAGAAGCAAATTTATTGGCATCATCTATTGGGAAAAAAAAAAATAAATAAAATAAAAATACAAAATAATAAATAAAATAAATAAAATAAAAAATGAAAACAACAAACAACTCAATTTATTTAAAAACTGAAGGTAAAGATGAATTAGAATTTTGATTATTAACTAGAACTGAAAAATATTTATGAATGTGAAATTCCTCTATAAAATGTAATTTGCCTACAAAAAATCTTTGGGGAGTTATTTTGACTGCAGAAAAAAGGAAAATATAATTTTTTTATCAACATTACTGGGCAATAGTGAATTTATGTGTTTTTTTTTTTTTTATAACATATCCCATACTCTTTATTAGAAACTTCAAGGCTGTCTTAGTTTTTACAATTTATATTAAGCTACATTGGCAAATACTGTTAGTGCGCCAGGAGTTTACGCTGGAATTTGATCTTTTAAGTATGGAACTATGACTTCTATTGAAAAGAGAAAAAAAAAATTATATGAATATTAAACTTCTGTAAAATACATGCAGTATTATAGCTAATTGATGAAAAGAAAGGAATGACAACAGAATTCTTATGATATCTCAAAACAAGTAAAAATAAAATATTATACTGCAGTGAAAATTTTTTAATTCCTTGGTTAGTAATCGTCCTTTGTCATTTTCACATTTGCAACTGAAGAAGTTCCTATTCAAACCATTGGAACTGGTCTTTCAAATTTATGCAGGGTTGATTTTTGTTGCTTTAGTATCGCCAACATTTATTCTTCAGCCTGTTATTTTTAGTTAATACCAAAAGTCTTTTTGAATTTTTAAATACTTAGAATCTCATTTCCCCCAGACATTTTTAGTTTGGTCTTATCAATGATTAACTGAGTATATTTTTAATACTATATTTTTCACTAAATAATGCTTAGTTTCAGTTACTCTTTTATAACGTATGTAAGATTTATTTGTCTTTTGTACATCTATGCAGGTTTTGTTCCTCGGTCATCCTCACTTTTTAATTAGGGATACTTCACGTTATAAGCCTTTTCGTGATAAATGTGGCAGTAGAACTCCATCTTTGAAAAAACTGACTGACAAATTTCTTGGTTGTAAGATACAGACAGGAGAACATAATTCAGTAAGTTGAAGATGCAGTTTTACTTCAGTATTTGGTGACTTAATGTTACATTTTATATTTTGAATTTTAATATTGTTATTTATAAAAAATAAATAAATAAATAAATGAAATAGAAACTCTTGTAGTAAACTACTTCTGGAGGCCAACCTTTCATGTGTGATATTTGACTGCTGAGGTTAAATACTAACTCACCTTTCAGTTATGAAATCTGTTAACTCTAAATTTTCATTCAAATGATAAGTTTAACAAAAAAGTTCTTTGTAACAGAATTTTAACTAAAACAGGGCAAAAACAATCAGACTGTTGGCAATAGATACTAATTTTTTGGTTATACTTGTAAGAAGAAAATTCTTTAAATTTACTTCTTATAAGTATAGTGTTATAGTGTGATAGAACAGCAGGAAAAAAATCTATGAATTTTTGCATCTGCTGTTGGCTTCTCCCTAGGGTACCATATAGGTGGCAGCACAACTTTTCCCAGTTCTATCTCAGTTTTGAGGGCTTTTTTTGTGGGGGGGGAGGGTCTCGGTTTTTACTTGAGAATAGAGATTTCCTGCTTGCTTTGTACAGTCAAAAGTCGATAATTCAGACACCCATAATCCGGAATGATCTATAATCCGGACCTCAAAGCTACAAACTTTCTGCGCATGCGCGTAACACTTTTACGGCTGCAAATATGCGTGTGTGCATGCCCAAAATACATTTACGCATGCGCGTTTAATGTATAACGGACGGTATAAGCTAAGCTAAAATTATCTAATTCAGTTAATGTTGCAGATTGCATTGTTCGTTAATCTTCGAATTGGATCCGGCTTATTATTTTTTGCAGACTGTTCCAGCAATTTTATAAAAGTAAGCTTGAACTTTCGATTACATCAAATAGAATTTCCGATATATATTTACTAATATGTAAAGGATCTACAAAGCGGAAGTATGTTTCGAAGTCCATTAAACAAAAAGTGGAATTGCTGCAAAAAAATGGATAAAGGTATATCCTTTGTTTATTTAACCATTCCGAAAACTGTTTATCAATTTCACGCTGCCCTGCGGCGGGGTGGGCGGGGGGAACGCCGCACGCAATGAATTGGAAGTTGATCTGTCAGCACTATTCTTATCTTCAGGGCAGATATTTTTATTTTATTTGGCTTATAATTCCTTACTAAATGTAGTATTTCATCTCGATGTACTCCGTCTTAGATATGATTTAAATCAAATTCCTCATCGTTATAATTCACTTCCAATAGCGAAGAAAGTGACACAGAGGTTATTGAAAACGAAAAAATTTTGATTGACAAATTAGTCGGTATTCTCGACACAGCAATTATAGGACTTGAACAGCGGAACTTTGTAACTGAACAAGAAATTATGTCTGTTTATAGAAGTAAAGAGAAAGTATTATCACATAAAAAATGAAGCAACTTAAACAACTTACATTGAAAGAAATGTTTAATAAAGTAAACAAATAATATTAAGCTTTTTTTTTTTTTTTTTTTTTTTTTTTTTGTAAATTTTTGATACCCTTTAGATCATAATTGTTCTTTATTTCATAAATTACGGTTTCGTATTTTTAATTTTATAATTTCTGTATGCCATCTTACTAGATTTAAACTGATGATCTATAATCTGGAATCGCCTAAGTCCCAACGAGTCCGGATTAACGACTTTTGACTGTATCTAAATGCAATAAAGGCATTACACATTTATAAGCATCCAAACTGTTTCCAGAATTCGAATTTTGGCCCAATGAATTAGTATCTAGCATCGCTAAACACTATACTGATTTGAATTTGTTATTTAATTTCTTCATTATTTAACAGATTTTATAATTTAATGAAAATTCTTAATTTATATTGTATGTGATACAAGAGCTGTCTAAAATATATCCGATCTTTGACCGGGAAAAATATGTTGGGACCCGAATCACTTTCAAAGTAGACCTCTTGTGTCTTCTCACACTTAACCCATTTATCCTTCCAGTGTCGAAAACATGGTGTTCATGTTCCACCATTGTGTTCTGCATTACCTTTTCTCTACTCTCAAAACAGCATTCTTTCAATATCAATTTCAGAAATAATTAGAAATTGCAAGGAGCCATATGTGGGGAGTAGGGAGGTTGGTGAATGATAAGAATTCCCTGTTTTGCCAAGAAAAATTTAGATCAAGTGAGATGAATATGCTAGAGCATTGTCATGATGCAACTGCCAGTTTTTTGCCATCTAGAGGAGTGGTCTTTTGCTCCAAACTGCATCACAAAGTAGGTGAAGAATTTGTTGTCCTCTGGGTGTATATATATGATGCCTAATGCCACTGATATCAATGAACACGGTTAGCATCACCTTGTGTTGCACCTGCCTTGCTTTTTTCAGCCTTGAGGACTCAGGATGCTTCCATTGTGATGACTGGTCTTTTGTTTTTGGTTTCTACTGACTTAATCTCTAATTATCATGGTGTTCAGAAACTTGAGATAAGTACTAATATTGGTCAGAAAGTCCTATAAAACTTCAAGCTTTTTCATTCAAGCAATGAGTTCCTTTTAAAGATTTTCCACTCTCTCAACAACAGCTGCATTTTGAGTGCCTTGTGGCCTTCCAGAACATTGGTCATTGTCCACTGATGTGTGGCTGTTTTTGAATCAGTTGAACTACTTCTTAATTGCATTACCCCCTTAACATCATCTCCAAACATGTGCTGAATCGTTTGACTTGAGAATCACCAAGCTTTTGACAAAATTTGATGCAGCATCTTTGTTCAGTTAGTTCAGTCATCTTGAGAGAAATCAAAAATCCAATGAACATGTACAATAGCACCTCACTCATTATCAAGCAGACAGTGATTGGCACACTCACATGTGGAGAAAAAAAAAGCATGTGCATTAGTCTGTCTCCTTTAACTGTGTACAGTGACAGTGCCCTAACATCACTATTCTGAGTGGTAAAATTCAAGGCCTGCCTCTTTTTTTTTTTTTTTTTTTTTTTTTTTTTTTTTTACAAACTGTGTATTTTATAATAGATTTAGTTGCACCCCCCATTACTGATTGCTAATTATGCAGTTAAAGTCACATATGCTCACTTTGGTGACTATATCTTTTTCTTTCCCCCCCCATTTTTTTCCCTTATATATATATATATATTCAGGAGAATATAGTGGAATGTCGAGTTTGATACCTGTGGAAACTTAATGTCTGATCAAAAAGCTTTGTAAGAAGGATTAAGTTTTTTCCTATTTATCATCACTCTTTAAGAAAATAATAATCAAAATAATGGTACTGTAATTAATAAAACGATGTGATTTTATTAATTACAGTACCATGATTTGAAGGTATAGTTAATTTGGGTAATCTGTGTACAGAAATTTATTGGAAATCATATCTGAATGTACAATTGATTGACTTTTTGAAAGGACTGAATAAAAAGTAATTTAATGGGAAAATTAATTGAAAAAGTTTAATTAGTAAGATTCAACTTCAGTTTTTAATTCCAATAAAAGAAGTACAAGGTATTTCACTGGGTAATCTATTCACATTAATTTGTTTTATCTAAATGTCTAAGCCGAAATGCGATGTAAACAGCCAAGAGGTGACCACTCACTCAAGATCATTAGCCTGTTTTTAGCATTTCCCCTAACAAATCTGCAAAGGGTATTTTGTTGCAAATCTCCCGAGAGTTGGGCTTCTGATTACCTGTTCTGTAGATAGCATAGTCCCTTTTTGATAAGTCTTTTGCAGGAGATATCTTTGTGAAAAACTTCAGATAATGTTATTTGGAAGCTTCAGACCTCTCTGTTGGATAAATGCATAAATAGATTTCCATCCTTTTTTTTTGGTTCTCATCCTTTTTTTAAAGTGCATTTCTTTAATGCTTCCTTCAAATTTGTGCAGCACACTCTTACTTTTGCAATAATGGTGCATCAGATATCTTTTGAATGTGATATATAGGCATTGACTGAACACCTCTTAATTAATCATTTTTGGATTGTATAGAATCATTAGTTATTATTGCAATTTCAAAAATGGCTGATAATAATTAAATATTTCTCAATGCATTAATAATAAGAAATCTGAAAAAATATACACAGATTCCTGCCATGGCATGTGCAGTGACATAGTGTATTTAAAATACTAGATACTGAATGTGTTATGTATTTTTGTTCATGTTTTTAGAATTTTAGATTTGCAGATATAATTTGCATTTTGTTTGCATCATTGGAGTAAACATGTGAACTTGAAATGCACAAAATTTGAATGACAAAATATGATAAATACTTGGAAAGTTGCACCACTATAATTTTTGCATCATATGGAATTAATCTTCTGTGACACAACTGTTCAAGATTATAAAGGATTTTGATCTTCTATAGAGTTAATCATTTTAAAGAGGTGATATTTAATACCATTGTTTATTCTGAAATTCTTTTCACTTTCATAGCCCACATTAATGAAACTCTGGGTTAATAAAAATCATCTTATAATAATATTTTGGGTGTTATAGTATTTTCATTGTTCAACATAGCAAAGCCTTGGTATTCGATGAGTTAAAAGAGCTCAGTTCTTCATGTTGCTTCTGAAGAAGTCTGTCAGAATTCAGAGTTTGTTTGTATTAAAGTTGAATTCTGCTAATTAGCGTCTTCCAAGTTGGCATTTATTTCTTGCCTAAATCTCACATATACAGTTATATCTTAATAAGTATCAATTTTAGGATTGATTGAACTCATCAGTAATAGAGTGGGAAGACAACTGAACACTGGTAATTCATCTTGAGTTTAAATTGCTTCAAACTGAATATGTGGGAGTTATTCTGATTTGCTGCATGTATAATGTAAATATGAGCCAATTTTGTTAGAAAATCTTCCATAAAGGCATCTTTTCCTGAAATCTTCACCAGCAACTAAGTAGTAAAATTCTTGAGCACTGATAGTTCAGTCTGGGTTTAAATCCTAGTGAAAAGGTCGGCTGCATGGGGATTTTTGTGGTTTCCCCATGTTGACTGTGAATACAAGTCATTTTCCCTTTAAACGTCCTCCACAAAAGCATTACTTCTCTTATACAAGTACCCTTGCATGCTTTGCATAATCCAATCCACCTTTAGGATTGATCAAACTGTAACTTATTAAGCAGAATATCTTTTGAAATGAAGTTTAAAGGATGTTTTATTTGTCATTAAAATGGTCTTACAAAATTTAAAATTTAGTCCAATCAGAAATATTTTACTTGTTTATTACTTTATTTAAATATCTTTTTTCACTTTGTTAGAATTTTTTTACTTGAAATGAAACCTCCTTACATTTGTATAATATGTAATTCGTAAATAAAATATTAAGTTGTCAATGCTGTTTATATGCTAAGCTTTTAACCCCTTCGAGCCGGGTAGCGAAAATGCGCGGAGGCCGGCAGTGTCTTCCACGAGCGTCTCTCCAGGGTCGGGGGCTTTTTTGCTACTAAGCCTAAATCCATGAAATTTCCGAAGTATCAACCACGCATTGTTTAATATGCTTTATAGAGTATTTAAAAAACGGCTTTATGCTTATATATATTTTATATATAATACTTAATTAACCTTATTTCTTGTTTAAATGCATATTTTACACATTTTATTTTAATTACTCACCATGTTATGACTTTTAACACTAAATGTATTACTTAAAATTCTCTTTTCGTATGAAAAATTTTAAAACAGGGATCTACACACAGTCCTACGTTACATTCCTTGAACTCATAATAACTCATTTGCCGTTTTGGAGGATTTTTCCGGGAATGTGAACAAACGAAGCATCGTCTCATTTTCTTATCAGTCTCTTCTGAACAAAGTTTTGGAAAATGTCTTTCAGTTAATCTTTCAGAATCAATATCAGAATTTCAGAATCAATATCTGAAATATTTTGCATCATTTCTGCTATTTCATGCTCTGTTAAACATTTTCGACGCTTCGACATTGAAATGGTAAAAAAAGAAAGAATTTCACGTCTAACAAGATCTAATTATTTTCTAAAAACTGAACTGTAAACGGAAATACTCAATGCTTTAGCGCATATAAAATAAACTTACTTACATAAACAACCTACCACGTGCGAATAAAGTGCGATTTAAAGAGACGTCATAAATCACACGCCATTCGGAAACATTTAGTTCCCCCGTTTGTTTATATATAATCAAAAACACATGTATGTGAGTCATGCTTCTCTCATTTTGAGTAGAAGGTCTAATGTGCATGTATCTGAAACCATATGGACATACAGTGCCATCTTGTGACAGAAATTATAGTTTGAAAAACGTTCCAAGGTACTGGCACAAATACGTGACAGTCTGTAGAAAACGCAACAATGCTCTGGCACGCCTGCGTGTCGGCTGGTAGATAAGTGTGTTCGTTGCTGGCACGTATACGTGACAGTCGGCACGAAGGGGTTAAGTGTATGAAAACTGAATATTCTTCGTAACTCAATGGAAAATCATCAAAGAAATACAATAATTTGAATGTTATAAAATTCTAACAGTGGTAATAAATACATTGGGAAAATGTGTCCGTCATGCAGGATTATTTAGAATGCTGATTAGATTGCATGTGGCAAAAGGGAAGCTAAAGAAATTCAGGTTATGGCATTATTGCAAGCTCAGAATAAAGTAGTTATTTAGATTTTCCCATGAAAGAAACTTAGAAATCAGGTCAATTTATATCAGTGAAGATCTATTTGAAGAGTTTGGAAAAGTTATATAATAAGCAGAGTGGCATATTGTTCAGGTATCCATTTAAAAAACATGCATACTTGTTTCACATATGTTGCATTTGGGCATTCACTATAAAAGTATGAAAAGTTTTTTGTTTCATAAATTTAAGAAAGTCCTTAATAATATTTAATGTTATTGTTGTAACTGTACATTGCATTAATTTTATATGGATTTGCCATGTATGAAAATACTGTTGCAGTGATAGGAATAAATTGAGTGAAATACTAAAATCATATAATGAATTTAATAGCCTTATTAAGTGTTTCCTTAGTTAAATTTGTACTGGATTATTTTTACTTCTATATTAGAATTCCTAGTTCAAAGAAGTTAAGAACATAAATCTCTTTTCTTTCATATTTTCAGGTTGAAGATGCTCGAGCTGCTATGCTGCTGTATTTACAAAATAAACGTGAATGGGAAAAGCAAATGAGAAGGAAGAAACCAAAGAAAAGGCAGTCTTCAGAAGTCCAAAAAGCATCTTGATTTAAATTTATAGATATAACTAAAAGATGTAAATAATATATTTTTTCAAAGTGTTTTTATTTACTTTGTCCAACTTGTTTTTATTTTACTTGTTTACTTCTTGAAAACTGAATACTTTTTTCAAGAACATTTAAAAATATTTTGAGCTTTCACCTGCTTATAGAAGGTAAAGAAGGAAACTGCTGTACCTTGTATGCTGATATGAAGGGTGAGGGGCAGGTATTTTAAATATATAACATTCTGTGTGGTCTCTATGATACTCACCATCATGAGTTCACCATCAAAATTATTCTGTACACATTATATGACTAGCCTGTTCATTTATAAAGTATTGCCTGCTTATTAAAAACTGATTGATGCTTATTAAAAACAACCTTTCAAATTAACTCTTAAGTATGCATCAGAAAATTTTGGGGGGGTTTCTGAAGTTTTATATTTTGGAACTTTTTTAAAGAATAACAAAAACTAAGGTAGAAGATAATTATGCTAATTTATAAAATGTGCTTTACAAATGATGAATATGAATATATATATATATATTTTACAGAGGCAGCAGTTTTAATTCTTGGCATTCTTGTAATATCTTGCATGATTTGATAAGATATTGACAAGGACATAAATTTCTTTTGGTGGACTCCAGTCCCCAGATTTTAATGTTAACAATCATCTTGCTGTGTATTTTTATGATAAAGTGTATGCATTGTCTTTAACTACTGTCATATTGGAATCAAAGTCCTTGTTGTCATCTTATCTTTTCAAAAAGGATTAACTTACACGAATAGGTAGCTAAAAGCAGACATCACCCACGTAGCTCTGACTGTCTTGAATTTAAAGATGGGGAGCGTCATCTAAAGGCATCTGAATTCTTTGTGCAACTCAGAGAGGAGCCATATCTGGAATATATGGAGGTTTTGACCCCCCCCCATAAAGTTCTTTTTAGTGAAAAAGAATGGTCAGTGAAATTTTTTCTTGGCTAGTGCACAGATATCATTGAATTGCTCTCCCTGATTGTTAGAGGATTGGCGAGAAATTTGGTTCTGATAATTTGCAGAAGCTTGTGAGGAGATCTCTTCCATAGCTTAGGAGATGTTTTCAGAATGTACGGTAGGGTGGAGTGAAAAAAATAAAATTTATATTATTGAAATGCACTGGTACTAAAAAAATGTGTATTGACTGACATATCACTCATGATTTTGTTCAAATTTTTTCTACTTTATTTTTATCCCCCCTCCAACAGCCTCGAAATTGCACAATTTTGTAATGGTAGGGAAAAACCATGAAAGTTTCTAAAATTGTCGGATGAAAGCTCAAAAGACTATTAAGTTGACAAAAGACTAATTTTAGTATTGACTAATAAATACATCCCTTGTGAATTTTTTCAATGTTTTTCTACTTCCTGCCTTGAAATTTGAAATTTTTATGTGAAATTTCCATATAATGGCAAAATCTTTTATAATGTTTTATTTTTCTAATAGCAGTGTACGTTTGCAGCAGCAAGATGTTAATGCATCATGGGAAGTATTGTAAACATTCTCCTTTTAATTGACTAAACTGTAAAATAATTTACATGTGTACAATGAAATTACTATTTACTTAAAATATGAATAATATTTTAATTTTCACTCTTTACAATATATACAATTTAATTTTTTATAATTATTAGTTGAATAACCTTTAACCTAAAATTGAATAACCTGCATCATTAAAAAAATTTAAGGCTCTTGCATGCAATAAAGATGAAATAGAAAAAAAAAATTTTTTAAATTTGCGAGTAATATTTTAGTTAATACAGTCAAAAGTCTTTAATCCGGAATGATCTATAATCCGGACCTCAAAGCCACAAACTTTCTGCGCATGCTCATAATACCTTTTCGCATGCGCATTTAATGTATAACGGATGGTATAAGCTAAGCTAAAATTATCTAATTATCTATTTCAGTTAATGTTGCAGATTACGTTGGTCCTTAATCTTCTAATTGGATCTGGCTTATTATTTTTTGCAGACTCTTAGAGCAATTTTATAAAAGTAAGCTTGAACTTTCGATTATGTCAAAAAGAATTTCCGATTCTGGAACTACCAAAGGATCTGCAAAGCAAAGCATGTTTTGATGTCCATCAAACAAAAAGTGGAATTGCTGCAAAAAATGAATAAAGGCATATCCTTTGATTCTGTAATCATTCCGAAATCTGTTTATCAATTTCACGCTGCTCTTTGGGGGGGGGATGACGCTGTGCACAATGAACTGATCTGTCAGTTCTATCCTCATTTTCAGAGCAGATGTTTTTATTTTATTCTGCTTATAATTCCTTACTAAATGTAGTATTTCATCTCGATATACTCCGTCTTTGATTCAAATCAAATTCCTCGTCATTATAAATATCACGAATACACATCAAATAGTTTTCTGGTTGCATTTTTCTAATTTCGACTATGCGTAATGTATGCTTTACGCATGCGTAAGTTGAAAGAAATGTTTAATAAAGTAAACAAATAAATATAAAGCTTTTTTTGGAAATTTTGATACCCTTTAGATCATAATTTCTCTTTATTTCATAAATTATGGTTTCATATTTTTAATTTTATAATTTCTGCATGCTATCTTACCAGATTTAAACTGATGATCTATAATCCGGATTTGCTGAAGTCCCGATGAGTCCGGATTAAAGACTTTTGACTGTACAAAACGTTTGAGAGTTAATTCACTTTCATTCAACAACTTTTAGAAATTTCATAGTTTCACCATACCATTCATGAGTGACATATTATTCAATACAAAACATTTGAGAGGCAGTGCATTTCAATTATGCAATACTAATTTTTTCACTCCACTTTAATGTACAGCCACTGGTCGTCTACATTGTGGCTGATCTTTTGGGCTGGTATTTCCAACCTTGAGTCTCTTAACCCAAAACTGGGCCTTGTTTGATTCCTTTTTGTGTGCAAAATCCTTATTCCCAGAAAATTTTGAACAGTCTGCTAATTATGTATCTTTCAGAACTCCTTCCAAAAACAGTAAAAATTGATTATTATGGCCAGATTAATATCTTTTTGATAGTATAGCATATTTCTATAGTATCTTCTTTACATATATAGGTATGATAAACAAACGGTAGGGGTAATAGGGTGTTTTAGAAACTGTATCTATGTTTGCGCTGGGAAATCGCCCAGAATTCTGGTATCCATGATTCCCTGGCTCATAACTTTATTGATTGACACACATGGGTACATACCACAGATCTAGAAACACAGCGGAACCTCCAGTCATAAAAATACAGTTGAATTCCATGTATACTTGGATATAAAAGTGTGCTGCGAGTAGCCTGCCCTACTTAGTTACATGTTGATGTGCGTCTTATAAAATAGAATTTTTTTTCTCTTATTAATAAATTCTTTAACACATATTCTCACACATAACTCTTCTATGAGATTAGAAGTAAAACCACAACATGTTGGAGGCCATAGTATAAATTACAAAGAAATCCAACTAGAATAGCAGACAAGCATTTATTTTTCAATAATTACGCACAGATATGAAAAAAATCAAACTGGCAGCTACATTTTTTAACTTAATCCAGAGCCGATGTTAAAAGTTCACTTGGTGAATTTCTGTTATTTATTTAGTATCACACGATCCAGAGCAGATGGAGATGAGCTGTTATATTCTGTCTTTGAAGTTTTAAAACTTGGAAATTCGCCGTTATCAATATTATCAGTATAAGTAACCATTTAAATTTTATTCAGCCTTGAAAGGTAGCTGTCACTGTATTTTTTGTCTTCAAATCGTTTTTGTATTTTTTGCAGAATGGAAAGCTAGCATAAAAAGGCATTTAGCATTCTGCTTCAGACTCAACAACTAGCTCCCTTGCTAAAGATAATAATGGTAATATGTTAGAATTCATGAACCATGATAATAATCCTCAGTGTGTTATATGTGCAGCAAAGTTCTCTAAAATAGTTCTAGGGCCCTGGCTAAAATGCATCATCATTTGGAATCTGTTCATGGTGGGTTTAAGGGGGGGGGAACATTGAATTCTTAATTTAACATTTTAAACTATTAAAAAGGTTTATGGTTCAGACAAAAAGAATAGTGAATGAGAAACCAACCAAGGTTTCTTACTTAGTTATCAGATAGCTCAACATGGTGAAACCTACCCAGTTGTCGGAAATCTTACTAAGCTTTCTACTGTGAAGATTATAAAATGCATTTGGTATGAAGAAATAGCTAAAATCCCATTTTCTAATTACACGGTAGCTCAGCACCTCAGAGATTTAAGCAGCCAGTAAGAAGAATGAACTTCCTTTTTGTCTGAAAGCAAGCAAATTTTCGTTACAAATGGATGAATCTATCGATATAACTGGACTCGCAGTATTAATCGCCATCATTAGGTATCAATATGAAAATGCATTAATGGAGGATATTATATTATGCAAATCTTTACCAATATGTACTACTGGAGTGGAAATATTTGGTCTTCTAAATTCTTTTCTCCAAGAGACTAAACTAGCCTGAAACAACTATATTGATATCTGTACCAGTAGAGAAAATACAAGTGGCATAATTAATGGGGCTGCAGAGCTCGTTAAAAATATTGCCAAAAACTGTTCTAGTAGCCCCTGCATGATACATAGGCAGGCAATTGCCACAAAAAAATTATCTCCCAGTCTAATAACCTCACACTTGATGATATCGTCAGTGACATTAACTTTGTTATAGTCATTTAGTAGCTGAGATTTTATGAAATAATCGTTTATTCAAAATACTTTGGGAAGTATATGTACATTTCTTCTTTTACATATGAAGTCAGGTAGCGATCTCAAGGAAAGATCCGAAACTGTATTTTTGAGTTAAGAGGTGAGGTGCATGCTTTCTTTCTAGGACACAGTTTCAAAGTGAGAAGTCAATTATTTGATGGAAATTACTGCTTAATAACTGCCTATTTAAGTGTGATATTTTCACAAAGACCAATGAACTTAACTCTTCAAGGCAAATAATCAGTGGCGTAAATAAGGGTATGCAAGGAATGCCGTTGCATAGGGGCCCGAAGGATTAGGGGGCCCTTAAATGTCCTGCTGAACTACATTTACATGTTTAAAGTTAAAAGTATCTTTTTCCCTTCGCTTTTCATTTTTATTTTTAGTGTTTGTGCTACTATGAATTCTTATTTTAATATAATAGAATTCATCTTCTTTTAAGTTTTTAAGGGCCCTCTTCCTATATGGTTCAGTGACGCAGTTCTGTATAAGACGCAGAAAAGAGGCCCTTGGAAGCACATGAAACAGTTAAATTCACTGTTTGCAAAAGTTAATATTCCATCATTCGACTATCAAATAGTAACTTCGTGACCTACCTCAGTTCAGGCATAGGAGTCAGCAAAAAATAGGAAAAGTTCCTTTGTATTTCTTAGTTTCTTACCGGAAAATTTTTAAAGGCGACCCCCCTGAAGGAAAGGTTTCTCCCTTTGCAATCCCAATTCAACAGGGTTGGAAGTGAAAATTAATTGTAACTATTTATTATAATGTAATTATTTTGTATATTAATTTATTTCTATATACTTTGTTATTATGATCGAATAATTAATAGACACATTTTCTAAGTATAAATAAAGAAGTAACTAAACAGGATTCTGGTACTTAATTTCGAATGACCTTTGCAAATTAAGAGGAAACGTGGTATATTATTTGCAGTTCGAAATTTTCATAATATGTCATTCCGAAGCGTTTAATTTTTTTCATATATTGAATCTGTTACTAGCACTTTCATTAAACCCGAAGCCAAAAATCAGGACTAACATTAAGCTTGAAATTGAATTTATTAATGTGAATGATTGTTTACAGTTTAATATAACACATATTGCGTTGGGTCACTATAAACAGCGTATCACTTTTCAAATTGTTGCCACCAAGTAATTAAATAAGTAAGAAATTAAATAAGTAAGAATCTGAATGTATGGATGTTTCTCGCACTGTGATGAAACAATGTTACCTAGAATGTTTGAATGTATCGTTCTTACAATGTAAAAAATGACCCTGCAGTCGCACCAGGAGGCAGGGTATTGAGATTGAAAATTTTTGGATTTAGAAGTATGGAACATTCCTAAAATGGCAAAGTTTAAAAGCAGATCGATTTTTTTCCCTCTTTTTTTAGACTAATAATCTGGAGGAGGAAATCATTCATAAGTATCAATTGTTAACTCCAGAATTTATGCTTTCCTTTCTTAAGGATGCAAAATCATTGACTTAAGTTGAGCAGTCGTGGCATGAAAGGACCCACATGTCGAAATGGTGTCCTCGGCCAGGAAACGCAAAGAATTTATGACACCACATTTAGAAAAAGGAGAGATTTCCTCCCGTTTGGCTTAGGGATCTTTGAATGAATTCAAG